CTCTGGGCTGCAGAATAAGGTTGGGGCTTGAGCCCCCGCTCCCTCACACAGCCCACTCACTCTCCTCTGCTCCCAGGCTCAGTCCACAGCCCAAGTCACCTCCCAGGTGGGGACAGAACCTGGAGGAGAAGGCACAGCAGGCAGTGGCTATTGAGAGTCCTTCGTGGCTGTAACTCGCCCGCCCAGGGGCTCCAGAGCGCCCTATGGGCGCAGAGCTGGGTGGGAAGGATGTTGGGGTGATCAATCAAGCACCATGTGCCTAATTGGACACCATCACTCCAAGCTTCATAAAGGAGACCCTTTCCCTTATCTGAGGACTCCTCTTTTTCCTCCCTCTTGTGCCCCAAATGAAGCTGCTCTGGGGACAAATATGCAAGCTGCTCTTCCTCTGTCCCCTGCCTCAGCCTCTGATCTGCAACCTGCCATGCTTCCTGACTGGTGACCTGCTAGACTTGCATTCTTGGCCACGTTATAACCGCCTCACATATCTGAAGCCAGGCTGTGCCCCACCCCCACAAATGCACACTCTTATACACGCACAGCTGGGCCAGTGCCCCTCCTGGAGTCACTGTCCCATATGTGCCACGGCATTCCCAGCCAGTCCCTCCTGCTCTTTTCCTGTGACCTTCTGCATGCAGAACTCCCTCCCACTCCCACTCCCACTCCCAGATTTGGCTAGAGCGCTACCAAATCTGCCGGTGTGCTTTCTGCTTGCCAGCACAGGCCCTGCCCACCCAGCTACTAGCTTCACCTTCTGAGAACACTGTCCTTGACGTTCCTAAGACAGAAGCCACAAGGGCCTCTTCAGCCTCAGTCCAGGGATTACTGAGTCTCCTGCTCTGCCCCATTTTTCTTCCTCCACCTGTTACACCCTCTGTGCCTGCTTCTCACCACCCACCTCCCTAAGCTGTTGGGCACCACACTCAGTGTAGGCTTTGAAGTCACAGCGACCTGACGCTAAATCCATTTACCTGCTCTGTGAACTTGTGTAATGGACTTAACTTGTCTACTCCTCGATTTCTATATCTGTAAAATGGGATTCTGGGTTTAGATGGCATGACTGTTGGCAAAAAAAGGAAGTAAGGGGAAAAGGGAGAAAAAAAGAGAGGCAGAACCGAAGGAATAAAAGCATTTCACACAGAGCATGACCACATTCAGTGCTGTCTACATAGGAGTGGTTTCTCGGCCCCTTCGAGTCCCAGTTCAGACACTTCCTCTTTTAGAAAGCCCTCCTGTTTACAGCGAGCACTTCCATCCTCAATTCCCATTTCCTGGTGCAGTGGTGGTGAGCCTGTGGCTCTCGTACCGCAGTGGCTGTTTCTATCATTAAAATCTCTAAAAGGTTTGCCACCACTGTCCTTGGGTATTGTCCACTCTCGTGCCTACCGCTCTCTGTGGGATTCTAAGCAAGTTCCCTTGTCTCTTACATCCTGGGTATTTCATCTGAAAAATAGGTGTAAGATGCCCACTTTAGGGAGCGGAGAGTGAATATATATGAAGTTCTGGAGAAATACAAGCTGCTACATGTTGGGTGTGGTGGCACACCGCTATAATTTCAGCGCTCCAGGAGGCAGAGGCAGGAAGATCACAAGTTCCAAGCTAGCCTGGGTAATTCAGCAACTTAGCAGGACCCTCTCTCAGAATTTAAAATGTTGGGGCCGGGGAGATAGCTCAGTAGAGTAAGTGCTTGGTGGCAAGCCCAAGGGCCTGAGTTCAAGCCCAGGTTCTGAAAAAAAAAAAAAAAAAGCATTTAAAATGTTAAACAGGAATGGCAATGTAGCTTAGTGTGAAGACCCTAGGTTCAACCTCCAGCCCAGAGAAGGGGGAAGAAGTGTTAAGGGTTCTTCGTTTGACTACCATTCCAAGGCATCTCCTTCCCCACCCCTGTGCTCCTGAGAGACTGTAAGTGCCCTGGCTCAGCATCAGAGGTGCTGCCTCTCTGTGGCCTCACACAGCACTGGTCTAGTGCGAGGCCTTTGGTGGTGCTGGTTAGGCTTGAACTCCACCCACCAAGCCTTCCCACGGGCTACCAACAGCAAGTGATGGTCCCACTGGATTTGGGGCCTTTGGGGCTCTTTGAATCCAAGACTCCAGAATCGAGCTGAGAGCAGGAATTCCCACATTTGCCTCTCACAGGCCTGGGACCTCCAGAGCCCCCAGCCCTGTCCCTGAACACTGTCCTGTTTCTCTCGGGCCTGTGCCCTCTCAGATCTCCCCCAGGGGCTCAAGGAAGGCCCCCTCTACCTCATAACCTCTCTTTCCTGTGCACTGCGCCCACATCAGTGAAGGACCCCAGGGCAGGGTGCAGCTACATGGAGCCAGGAGGCAGCCTTCTGCGCTGACACAGGCCAGGGGCCAGTGCTGGGTGTTTATTGCCTATGCCATCGACCCGCACAGCTCGCTGTTTATCTGTCTTCCTGACACACCTAATTACCCAGGTTGCAGCTGCCAGCACGTTTTCTCTTCCTAAATCACGGGCTCCCATCCCTCCTGTCGCCCAGGCCTCCGGGCCTCTGCCTGCAGAAGGGCCGTCATTGATTTTACCGTTCCCATTTATGATCTACAAGGCTCTGCACCACTGTTGCACATTTTACCTTAATTAGTTTATTCTTCTGGGCGTCCCTGGTGAGCTCAGAAGCCAAGAGGCTGGTAAGGGGAGAGGCCAAGAGCACATGGCACCCAGACTCCTCCTAGGCCAAAGCCCAGAGCCTGCTCAGACACCAGCTCCCTACATCAGCGGCTGGCTAAGAGCAGCACCGGCTCTGCAGGGCATTAACAGGTGGCCTTTAAAACAGGGTTCCCCCACCAGTGTGTTTGGGAAAGGCTGGCCTCAACAACAGTACGCAGGTAATTTACTGCAGGGCTCTTCCAAGTTTTAATAGACTCTGATGTCTATGGAGAGTCCCCAAGAGTTGGGCAACTGCAAATCTTTCCCAAGCACAGAAGGACACGGGATCCTTTCTCTAAGCAGCTCACAGAGACCAGGATCCCACAAATCACCACTTTAGACACGCTGACCTAGCTTGACAGGAAGAATTAGGGGCGATGAGGTAAACGGGCAGAGTCCCCCTGACCTATTTTCTCATCTCCTCCAGCTGTGGCAGGGCCTGGGCATCTGCAGAAGTTTCTCCCACTGAACCCAGAGGTGCTCATCAGAGCTCAGCAGGCTCCAGCTGTGGGCAGCCAGTCGCTCACCTGGAATGTGACCAAGGTGTCTAGGAAGGGGCCCTAATGGATAGAGATGGGTGAAGGCTGCTTGGTGCTGGTGAAGGCTGGAGAGCCGAGGGCCTGCAGGGGCTGCCTTGCGTGGCCCAGGCATCTGGCAGTGACAGAAGCCAGCTGCTGCGCCTCTCTGACCCACCATGATGATAATGGCCGCCCAGGCCCAAGTCCCTTCTCCACAGGCTGGAACCCCAAATTCTTGGGGAGCCTCGAGTGACTTTTTAAGTTTGTGGGAAATTCAGTGGCTAGCAAAACTTATCCTGAGCTGATATGAGCTATTTATAAGCTCTACCCTACCTAATATGAATATTCATGCTTCAGTGCAGAAAAATACTAATGTGTTGAATTATGGGGTGCCACCCCCAGTCCCCGCTGGGGTGTTACATAATCCATAGTATGTTACTGTGCTACCTTCCCAAAACATGAAAGAAAGATCTAAATTTCTAGACACAGTGGGCCCCCAGGGGTACTTGAGGGGCTGTGGGTTTGCAGTGTCACAAAGCTGTCCCTGCTCTGTCACTTGGCCAGACCTGTGAGCAGGGTCACAGGGGTCTCTCAGGTGATTCCCACACAACATTGTGAGCAAAGGCGCAACTGTTAGCCACAGTGCCTGGATGAAGAGACCAAGGCTGGAAGCAGGTAAAGAACCTCACAGCACCGCGGCCTCCCCGAGCACCCTGCTCAGGCCACAGCCACGGTGTGGACCTGCATCTGTGGCTCCACAGAAACCTCCTCCCCACGGCAGACACCCCACAGAGCTCCCATGTCTGCCTGGTGAGTGGCCTTCCTCCAGCTCCAAATGTCAGGCAGCAACAGAGACAGCATGGCTCTACCAGCTCCCAGCGTCTGGCCTGCAGCCCTGACCCCACCATGATGCTGTGGCTCATGGGCCCCTGGTCTCAGGAGGTCTCAGATGAGGCCCCTCAGAGACCAAACCTTTCAGGCTTTCCTGGACGGGCCAGCTGGGGCTGTTAGTACACAGCTCTCTCTCTTGCACACACACACACACACACACACACACACACCAGTACTCACCTCCCATTCTCACACTCGTTCCCACACATACTCTGACACTATTCCACACCACTTACCTGCTCCCAACATTCTTGCACACTCACCCTCATGCACTCTTCTCTCCCATGCTCCAGTCACACACTTGCTCCCCCCCCACACACACTCATTCACAGACTCGCTTTCTCTCACCAACACTGCCCCCCCGCACTGTGCAACTGGTATCTCTAAAGGAAGGATCTCAGCGAGTAGTTCAGCTACAAAATGGGAAAAATCATTTCTGCCTAATAACAGCTACCATGGGGGCACTGTGCTAAACCTTTGGTGTGTGTCATCTCATTAATTCCTTGCAGCCAACTTGAGCATAGTTATCATTGTTGTTCCCATTACAGATAAGAAAAGTGAGGCTCAGAAATGCCAAGCAACTCCCCAATGTCTAGAACCTAGGAGACTCTGGGTAGAACTGAGATTGGTCCTTGGGCTCATTTACTCTAAAACCCAAGCTTGTAACCACTGACCCATACTGTGTCCCTCAGCCTACACCTACTGCCTCTTTTTTGAACAAGCCAGAGAGTCTAGTTTGCAACTAGAAACATCTGAGTACCCCAAACAGAGAGGAATCTCAGCTGCTCGGGGTCTTCCTGCTCTTGGCCCATCACGGTGGTCCCATCCATCTTGTGGCAGGTGCTAGAGGACATCCCCAGAGGCCAGAGCCTGAACCCCGCCCGGCCCACTGCTCACTCACCTTCCTTTCCTTCTGTCTTCAGGGGTGGCCACATATACAGACAAGTTGTTCAAGTTCCGCAATAACCGGTGGGAAGACATCCTGAGTGACGAGGTCAACGTGGCCCGTGGCGTGGCCAGCCTCTTTGCAGGACGCTCTGTTGCCTGTGTGGACCGAACGGTGAGTCCAGGGGCCTGAAAGGAAGCGTAAAGTGATGTAAGAGCCAGCAGAAGTGCTGCCAGGTTGATGTCCCCTACCAGAGTGGTGACAAGCTGGCATGGCGTCTTACACACAGAGGGTACTAGATACAAGCAACGAAGACTTGCGGGGTAAGGGACAATGTGCCTCGCATGTCCTTTCTCCCATGGGGCCTACCAGTGATCCGTGAGGAAGTGGCCGGGGATGTCGTCATTGTGTCCGCCGGACGCTTGAAACCGAGGCACAGCTCGGAGCAGTGACTTACCTGGGACCCAGAACGGATGGCTGGCCTGGCTAGGGCACGAAGCAGAACCCTCTAGCACTAAATCTCAAGCTTACTCTTTCACGTTAGCATTGGTAGGTGCTTCCTGTGTGCCGGGCTCCGAGCCATGGGGCCCTCTGTGAGCATCTGTGGGACACGTGGAGGCAAGCAGAGGACCCACGGGGCCAAGAGGCGTTTTCTTCACGCACAAGAGCTTCACTTCATCAGCGACTCCATCAATAGCCCTGTGTACTGCCGGTGCCCCACCAGCAGCGCCAGCCCAGGGGGTTTGGGAAGCCTGGCTAACCTGGAGGGCCAGAGCAGCTCCAGCCATCAGCCCTGTGTTGGGGCGAGGGGTCCCGCCACGTCCCACTGTGGAGGAAATTTATCCCTTCAGTCACCTGCTCCCTGCCACCTACCTCCAAGGCTTTACAAACAGCCATGGCTACATCAGGGGCCCAGCTGCCGCCTTGCTCCCGTGGGAGCATCGCTGGCCTCCATTCTGGGATGGGGCGAGGTGGGGCTCACTTTGGATTGAGATAGCACCAAAGGGATTGGGGATTCAGCATGAATCTTCACAGAAGGGGCCTTCAGGCCTTGAGAGAAAGCAGGTGCCAGGTATAAATATTTATTTCTTAACAAGCTGGTGCTGAGCGGAGAAGCCAAGCTGGGCTGTGAAGCCACATTTAGCCCTGACCTGAATCTGTGCCACCTGGACTTCTGCCGCATGGGAAGGGATGGGAGGCAGCTCTAGAAAGAGCCAAGAGAGTGGGGGGCTGGAGGCGTGGGGCCTGGCCGCAGCTGGGCGCTGCCTCCCCTTCCTCCTGGGCCACTGCCTAGGCCAGCACCAAGTTCCCATCCTGGCTCAAGCAGGAAGCTTCTCTGAGAGCTAACGGGAGAGGCGTGAAGGTTAACCATAGAGAGGCTCACTTGGTCCTCACAAGATCCTGTGCACACCCACACATTTAGCTACAGACTAAAGACACCATGTGAAATTAAAAGAAAGAAGACGGCCTGGCACCGGGGCACGGTGGGTGGCATTTGGAAGCTGCCTGCTCTCCGCTCAGCCCAAGTCCCGCTTCAGCCAGGGACTAGCGAACGCTACAGACAGTCTGCCACTAGAGGAGGAATGGCCTCCCCAGGCCAGCCACCCTTGGCAGTCCCTGGGGGCCTGGAACTGAGGGAGATGTGGGGAGAGCCCAGAGGCAGAGGGGAAGCTGAGCGATGGGATTGAAGTATAAAATGCACATAGCTCACGTTAGGTTGTCCAACTAATCATGCTCCAGGCTCTGCGCCAAGTGTCGCAGGCCTCATGTTAGGAATCTTTATGGTCACCCTGTGAAATAGAAGCTATCATTGTCCCACTTCACAGGTATGAAAACTGAGGCTTGGAACAACTGAGCAACTTGACCTTGGTCACACAGTAAGCGGTAGGCAAAGTCAGGAATTAAACCCTGTTTGCCTGAAATGAAGCAGACAACCGTTTGCCCCTCTGCTAGCCTGCCTCTGCGTGACATGATATGACGTAGGTTTCTAACTTCAGAGTCTATTACACCACTCACTCCGCCCTCCCTTCTGAGCCCCGCAGCCTGTGCATCAGGCTTTCAGTCTCTGTCTTGTCAGTGTTTCTCAGAATGTGGTCCCTCTAGCGGCACCAGCACTGCTAGAGCTGAGAATTTGCAGGCCCTGCCCCATGGTGCCTTCCAGACCCACTGAAGCTCTGGGTGGGGGTGTCCAGCGGCCGGGGTTCAGCTTGCCCTGCAGTTGATTGCGGTGCCTGCTGGGCTCTGAGAGCAGCACAAGGCCACGCCCCAGCCCCTGCCGCCAACAGTGCCCCCATCTCCTTCCTGCCCCACACCTGGAGATGCGCCCGTCCTCTATCTTCAGTCCCTCATCACTCACCTTTCTGGATCTGACTCAAAGCCGATCTCTTACAAGAAGCGTTCCCTGGTCGATAATGATTATGCCTCATGTTTATATAGCGTTTTTATCTTTTCAAAGACCTTTCACATACGTCGTCTCATTTCATCTTCTCAACAACCCTGCCAGGAAGCAGGGGACTCTGATCCCATTTAACATGTGCAGAGACACAGCCTGCAGATGGTGAGGGATGTGCCCGAGGACGCAGAGCTAGTTAGGGGCTGCGGCTGGACTCAGACTAAGGGTAATGGACCTGTACCGGTGGTTCCCACAGTGAGGTCCTGGGCCAGCAACATGGACTTCGCAGGACCTTGTTAGAAACGTACCCTCTTGAAGTCCCCGCACCCAGCCCTATGGAATCCAAAGCTCGAGGGATGCGGCCGGCATCTGTGTTTTCACAAGACTCCCAAGTGATTCCACTGTGGGCTACAGCATGAAAATCATTGCCCAATGCTCCGGAAACACCCTCCCTCCTCCTGAATCATCTCACCCTTTTAGAATTATTGCAGTCAAGTTCACGTGTGAATTTCTGTAATATTCTACAATTCTAACACACCTACATTTATCCATTTTATCATTCCAATAAATGAAGTAAGGAACTAGGTATAACTGAATTTTATAAATCTCCTAATTTCTAGCAGAGTGCATTTCAGCCCATTTAGGCTTAATTGCCCATTTGTTGAGGAGCTTGCTAACAGCTGGTGGGGTTAGGCATGGCTCACGTCAGTGCACTTTCCCGTTGGCCCTCTTCATTCATTCTTCAGGCAGTCATTCTACATACATGGAGGAAGCCCCGCAATGGGTGACACCTTTTCAAAATTCCCTCCTCATCAATAAGTCGTGCTGTAAAGCAACGCATCTCAAACCTTAGTTCTACCTGGGAGTCTAGTAGATTAAACACAGACTCTGACTGAGGAGGTCCAGGGTTGGGCCTGGGACTCTCTTTCTAACTTGCTCCCTGATGTCACCAAGCCTGCTGCAGGTATTGTGACTTTAAGTAAAAAGATGCAAAGCGTAGACTCCCGAGTAAAAGGACAGAGTCTCAGATAACCAAAACAAAAGGGAAACTAAGTCTTTAAGGAAGTTTCATAACCTTCTCCGGCTCACCCCTTCGACTTCCTGCCTTGTGCTTAACATTCCAGCAACAGCACCCCAACTGCATGGACCTCCCTGTGTGCAACTTCGGCTCATCTGGCCCACAGGTTCTTTGCCTTCCACTCCCCCTGGCTGAGACTCCTCGTGGGAAACCTTTCCTGAAATTCCCACAGTGAGGTGCCTGCCTCCGCGTCAGGAACAGCCCCTCTGCACCCCAGGACATCTTCTTCTGGGTCCCCCAGAAACCCTAAGCTCCTCACCCTTTCTCACCAACCAGTCTCACAGGCTGGAGTGGCTCTCCATCAGCTTCCCCAAAGAAAATGGTCCTAAAAGGTATAGTCAGTGACCAGTTAAGTGAGACCAGGGCTCTCAGGATGTCACTGACAAGATATAGAAGCAAGCAAAAGGGACTAAGAAGAGGGACAACATGGCAATCTTGTAACCCTGAGCTCAACTACCAGAAACGACCTAAACATATTATAGTCAATGCTTTAAAATTTTGAACTTTATTACACTAAAAGACGCATTGATATTAATCCCCTTTAGAATACCCCCCTTTTTCAAAAGCATTTCTTGCATCATTTTTGCCCCTTTTTGAAGCAGTTCTGAAAGGTTTCTTTCATGAGAATCTTTTTTTGAACCCCAGAGTGTGGCTCTAATTCCACTCTGCTTCCGCAGCCCTCATTTGTGAAGGGCATCAAATTAAACAACCCAGATACATTTGCAAAACAGAGACCCTGGCTCAGTCTCCACAGATGGCTGGGGTTAACAATCAACAAAAACACAGATCCAGGAGGACAGAAGAAGCAAAGTGAGTGTGCCCCCCAGCGCTCAAGCCCCCGAAGACAGTCCCTTCGGAGGGGCTGGAGCTAGCCAGCCTGCACTCTCCACGCTGCCAGGCCACAGCCTGCACGCCACCGGCTCCACTGCCGGCCAAAGTTTGCCTCCCCCTGAAGGACCGCCAGGCTGAGGCCCACCCTGCGAGCCATTTTGTGCTGTTCTCTCCTCTCCTCCTCCCCTCCCACCTCCTTCATGAGAAGCTTTATGGTGTGATACGAAGAGCCGGGCGTGGTGGCGCATCCCTGCCCTCGAGACTGAGCAGGAGGACTGTGTAGCTCACTGCACAGTGAGGCCCTGTCTCCAGAAGCAAGGGCGACAAGTGGCACCACACACTTAAGGCTCTTCCCCTCAAATCAAAGTGCATGAAAGGTAAATGTTTTGAACCTATTCGAGGTATGGAGGCAGCCGCAACGGCACAACTAAAGATACTCATGAAGGAGGACTTCCAGAAAGTGGCAAAAACTATTACACCATATGCATGTTTGAAGCAAAGGGAAGTATTTTGAAGGAGATTAATAGCAACATGTCTTTTACCGTAATTTTTTTTTAATTGAAACATTCACAGGGCCACAGAAATAGCTCAGCAGTCTAAGCGCCAGCCTGATAACCCGAAGGACTGTGCCGGTCCTGCCTCCAAACTGCAGAGTGAGGCCCTGTACCAAATACATTAAGCGCCTGCCTGGCAAGTGCAAGGTCCTGAGTTCAATCCCCGGTACTGAAAAAAAAAAAGGTTGAAACGTTCACCACAATTTTTGACCACACCTGATTGGTCCTTTTTTGTTTATGGCTTGCCCATCAGATTAGAATCTAAGCCACCTAAGGACAGGGACTTTTTTCTTCCGGTCATTTATTGAAGAGCACCTTGCACATAGTTGAGGCTTGAGAAGTTTTCACTGGAGGGAAGTGATGAAAGGGATAAGAGGAAAGCTAGAAAACGGATTTAGAAGCCATGTGGCTCTCGGGGAGAAGGAGGCATCCACCGAAGAAATAACACCATTATAGTAGCAGCCAGAAAAGAAGCTTTTATCAGCAGTGCTTTGGACTACAGAGGAGCATGGCTACAGCAAAGAGGAGCCGGTGCCCAGGGCTTCTCCTGGACGCAAGAGGGAAAAATGAGACGGCAGCAAGGCAGAAGCAATAAAATATTTCTTTCAGGCAATGCAGAGAGAAGAGGGGATAGAAGGGGGGAAAGACCCCTGGAAGTCTGTGCCTCTCATGCTACCGAAATAAAGAGATGAAGAAGGAAGGAAGAGAGGTAACCAGCTCAGGAATCTGCTTGTCATCTTGGCTGGAGTGAGCTTGAATGGAAGACAGAGACTGCGAATAATGGGAACTGGTAGATCAATCAATCAGCAAATATTTATTGAGCAGCTACCCAGGCTGGCAGCTGGAGAGCTCAGCTGGAGGGAGGCACATTAGAAAATTGTCTATAAAAGAGGTGCTTGAGGGGGAGAGGGAGGGACGTGTGTCTGCTTTGTTGTCCAGCCCAAGGGGGTGGGCGTGGTTCACAAGGCAGCCTTTGTGGAACGGCCCCCAGGGCTGTAGCCAGAACAGCCCACAAGGCCATTGGCAGCAGACCTGAGCAGAGCCTAAGCTGTGACCCTGGTGTAGGCTGATTTCTGGGGAAAGCCCGAGTGGGCTAGGGTGGGCGTCCTCACCGTCTCCTTCTCTTCCTCCTCAGGGATCTGGACGCTACTCCATCTACATTGCCAATTATGCCTACGGTAATGTGGGGCCTGACGCCCTCATTGAAATGGACCCTGAGGCCAGTGACCCCTCTCGGGGCATCCTGGCACTCAGAGATGTGGCTGCTGAGGCTGGGGTCAGCAAATACACAGGTATGCAGAGGGGCACGGGGGCCATGAGCAGAGGGGCCACGGCCCTGGGATGGGGTCTAGGGCCCTGCAAGACAAAAATGAGTCTAATTAATCCGAGGCTACAAGAACAGGGAAGCTTATTCCACGAGGCTACCCACCGAAGTCTCCTCTGACACCGCTTCATGGGCCGGTTAGATATCTGGCAAGTGTTAGCTTGGGAGCTGGCAGGGATACTGGGCAGAGGGGCTTGCTGGCCAGAGGGGGAGAACAGCGTCGCATCATTCTTCCCTGGGACCTGTCCTCCATCCCCTGCTCTAACCCCAGTGATGGGTTCTGTAGGAGAAAAGTGACAAATCATAAGAGCTGAGATTAAAGCATTCTTTATTGCCAAACAGCAGATGAAATTATTTACTTAAACGTAACACAAGCAGCCACGAATTGAGTGCTAACTCCCTAAGGTTCAGCTGGATCCCCTTTTGGATAACTGAGCTCAAAGAATTGTGTTCTTGTTCCAGAACCCCTCCAGCACTTTTTCCCCGAGACCCACTCGCCCTTCCTCTTTCTGGGTGGGGGACCTACTGTCAGAATCTCTGACAGGGAGATCTTTCCAGGGAAGGCTGTTTTTCTAATTCCAGCATGGTTGCTGACTAAACTCTGATAATCTGCCAATAGACTGCTGATGGCAGAGCAACCCAGCTCTTGTTTTGGATGCCAGAAACCAAGAAGCCAGGGCTGCGCACAACTTTTCACGTGAGCTCGTCTCCCTCGTTCCGCCCTGCTCTTGGGTATAGAAATCATCTGCCAGCTAACCTGTCCTGCAGATCCCCCCAGCTTGTTCCTACGGAGAGTTGCAAGGCAGTAGCCACCAGAATCCTTACCCTGGAGGACAGGAGGATACCTGAGGGCCATCCCTCCCGCTGCAGACCCTTGCTTGGGAGCAAAATCTTTAAGTCCTACCTAGAAAATGTTGTCCCTGCAGTTTATTATGCCCTTTTCTAGCCACTTTCCACCTTGGTGAAAGGCAGAGATTAATGTTGACCTGTCTGACAAAGTTTGTGGGGACAAATGACTAGACAATAAAATAGTTTGCACAGCTCGAGCCCTATCAAAGTGCCGGAGAGCTCTGTGCACAAATGTACCTCAGAAAGGCTGTGTGTCAGTAATAAACCACGTTTCCCTGGGAAAGGAATAAACATGCGGGCGCTTCAGCCTAGATTGGTACAGTCAATTTTTCTGAGTAGCTCCCAGTTCTGTGCACTGGGCTGGCTTGGCAATTAAGCGCCTTGATCTTGCAGGAGAGGGATGGGCTGTGGGGGATGAAGCACTTGAAAATGATGAGAGGGGAGGGAGGCAAGGACCGGGAGAGTGGGTTACACACAGAATAGACGCATCCGGGCTGTTTGAGCGTGAAGGGGGCATTGTTCACACTGGCTGGGCTGGCATGAGCCCAGGAGGGGGAGGGGGACCCCAGGCAGAGACAGCTGAGGAGTAGGGATGGGATAGGGGCACCAGCCGTCTGAGCTGAGCTGTGCTGGCAGGACCGGCAGCCCAAGGAGAGAGAGCAGTTTCTGTGGAGGCCTCGAGGAAGCTGGGGCAGCTGGCGTGCCCAGAGGACGCATCCGAGCAGCTCTGTAGTCTTCCAGAAGCCATTTGGCCTACAAGAACCTATTTGGCCCACCGAGTTACTGTTCTGTCTGCCCGCCTTCCCAGCCCATCCTTTCGCTGCCTGCCAAGCCCCCCAACATTACCCTGCAGCACCCCCATCTCTTGGCTAATGACACATGGACATCTGGCTGGAAAACTAGCCCTGAGTACCCCCTTGAGACTCAGGAATGGACCCCAAATGTAAGCGCTGCCAGGCTGAGCCCAGCCTGATGGCTGTGCCTCTGGCAGGGGGCCAGTATCCAGCACCAGGCCAGTACCAGGGCACCAGGCTAAGAGCAAAGCAGACCCTGGCCAGGTAAGCACGCAGAGAATCGAGGCCTTCACAGCTGCGTCTCATAGCACCCATCTTTTGAGCAACCTATGGCCTGGGGAGACCTGCAAATTTCCACAGTAACAAACCAAGGTCCAGAAAAGAGAAGAGACTCACACAAGGTCACAGAGGAGATTGTAGAAAACTAGAAGTGGAGCCCCACCTCCTGAAGCCTAGCCTACTATCACCAGCTGGCTTCTCTTCTGACCTCCGCCTTGAGAATCCCGTCCCAGGCTAGTGAGAGGAGCACCCCACACCCACTTTCAATGTGGCCCCAAGCGTGAGCACTCAGGCCTTGCACTGTGGTCCTAGGCTGTAGGACAGGTGCAGCTGCTGGCCTGGGGCGCTCAGGGCACCAGGAGAGGTCAGGCCACCTTGGAGGCTGCAAGGCAGTGGCACTGTCCCCGCATTAGCTATCCCGCTCTGTGGGAGGGGGAGGGAAGCCTCTCCAGACACTATTGATTCCAGTGGCCACTGCTGCTGGGCTGGGTCACAGTGCCATCTAGCGGCCACCATGCCTGCTCTCAAGGGACTCGAGGGCCCCTGGAGCAAAAGTAGCTGGTGCCCACAGGGGCACCAGGAAGACTGCCACCCCCCTCCCCCGACTCCCTAGAATCCCAAGCCCCAGTATCTCCAACTGCCAATGCTCAGAGCTGCCCTGCATAGGAATCCTGAGAACTGGGTTCTACCACAGCAGGGCCCTGGTATGAAACCTGAGGAGAAGGAGGAAGAGAAGAGCTGAGAGTCTTGCACTGGCTCTGTGCCCAGTGACCTTGAGCACGCCCCTCAGCCACTCTGAATGCTGTGAACAAGCTGGCTTGCAGAGCGGCTAAGGGGACAGGGCGCGGAGCTGGCTGCCACGCACACTCTGCCTCCACCACGCCCTCCAGCCACAGGCAGCCCCATCTTCACCAGCTGCTGCTTTCTCACTCACACAGAGGGGAGGTTGAGGAATGGAAGGAAGACATGTGGGCATGCCTGCCATGGCCTGGCGGACAGCAGATGCGCACACCAGGCCCTCTGCTGGGCAGCACTGGCGGTGCAGAAAGGGAGCGGGGCAGCCCTGGCCGGGAGGCATGTTGCTCAGCGCGCGCCCAGCGTGGCACCTCACCCCAGAGGTGCAGCCTCTACAGCCCTTCCACTGGGCCCAGCCTCCCTCGGCCTCCGTCTGCCCCCACAAGCCCCGCGTTTGGACCTCACCCTTTGAGGGAGCATCTGCGTGAGCTGCGAGGTTGTGATTAAAGAAGCCTTAAAGGAAATTTGGAAAGAAAATGAAGGTGGATTTATGATGCTGGTTGGAGAGTTTTGCTGTTGGCTGGGAGCAGGGTGGAACAAAGCGGAGGGCAGATCTGATTTATAGGAAGTCATTATCGGAGGAGACGGAGAGGCCTAAGCCCAGCTGGGGCCTGCTGGCGGATCCCCATCAGCGGTGCGACTGAGGGCTGCCGGGTGGGGCCACAGAGCCCCCCAGGTTCTCAGACAGCAGTGATGGCCTTCCAGCAGGACACAACCAGAGCTGACAGCGGGACCAGGCAAGGCTGGAGGGACAGGCACCTATGCCAGGCCTGCCCGGAGTCCCAGGTCACAGAGCCCTCCTGGATACACAAGAAGCATTTTCCTGCTTATCAGAGGCATTCTGTGATTGTCGAGAGGATATGCCATTTTTCTTTGAAAACACGGGTATAGAAATATAAATTTTACATGCAGTTTTCTCTGCTATCACAAGAGATTTGAGAGAAACACCAAGCCTATGGCTGATCATTCTCCATGCCAATATAAGTCCCATCCTGTAGAGAGGGGACATCTGAGAAACAGACTGGAAAGACTAGCTCATGATGTGCAGTGTGACCGCCGCACACTGGCTGTGACTGCTTCTCCGTGAGCCTCAGTTTCCTCACCTAGGAGATGGCGGTAATGGGAACCCGGGGCTGAGGAGATGCTGCTCGAAGGACACAGTCCAGTTAGGTGAGAGGAATAAGCTGGAGACACCCCGTGTGCAGCTAGTAAGAATGCATTGTATTCTTGCAGAATGCCAGCAGGATAGACTTTCGGCATTCTCACCACCAAAATCATCAGTATGTGAGGTGATGAATATGATAATTAGCTCAATTTAGCCATTTCACCATGTATACAGTCTTCAAAACATGTCATTACACTGTAAATATATGCAATTTTTAATTTCGCAGTTAAACACAGAAAGAAAGTGGTGGTGACAAAACACATTTTGAGGTGTCATGAGACTGATGTGAGCTGCATGTGTGTGACACCAGCCCAGGGACCCAGCGACTAGGGCTGGAGGCACCCTCCCTGCCACTCTTTCACCCAGTCGTTCCCTTAAGCGACTTCTTCCCGCCCCTCACTGCTGAGGAGGGGCCCCCTGCTGGGCCCTGGTAGCCAAGCTGTGCGAGTCCCCTCCCCACCCCCAACAACTGATGGAGGCTGTCCTGCGAGCCTCTTGGGGAACCAGGCCAGGAAGGACCACGGAAAGTGAAAGCAGCCTGATCCGCACCTCCAGGGTCACCAAGTACCAACACAGATGTGCTCTTGGGAACTTTCAGAGCGTTTAGATGGGAGACACTGACGTCATCCTGCCCTCTACCACCTTCTCCAGCACACACCTGCTCACGCCCCAGTGCCCTTCCACCCACATCTCCCGGTGCCTAAGCCCTGCTCTTACAGTAGCCTGGATGTTCTTGGTAGCCCGTGGCCTTGATATCCACCATCATCCTATTTCCAGCACCTCAGTGCCATGTGTCCAGGGTCCCTGGCTGACAGGCCTTGCCTCAAAGCTTCCACAGACAGAAGGTGCAGAAAACAGCTCCCAGCACCCTCATCCTGAATCTCTGCAGGATGCATGAATTGACAAGTAAACCTGGAAGGCGCTCTGGAGACCTCCCTCCCCATCCATTTCTCAGGGCAGGAACAGAGGCCTGACGGATACACTTTCCAGGTTACTGCAGCCAGAGAGGGGCAGGGACCATGTGAGAACCAAGAGACCCTTCTCAGAGCCATAAATGTTGTGCTGCTTTGCCCCTGCCCACCCAGGCCACAGCCACAGTTCGGAAAAGTGCAGTGGGCCTCAGGGCTGACCCCCACACAGCATGAGACATGGGTCACCTGCCCCTGAATCATACTAGCGTGTGTACTGCTGAAGGGTCAGTTCATAGGTCCAGAGCTGAGGTCCCTGAGGACAACCAAGTCTGCCCTGTGGGCCTGGGCCCACTGGGCAGCTTATCGGGACAGCTGCAGTGTGGCAGGAGGTGGGAGGCCTGCTTCTCCTCCAACCCCATCCTCCCACCCAGCAGAAGTGCGTGGAAGGAGTAGGAAGGGAGGAGCATTCAAAGCCCAGCAGCCTACCAAGGAGGCCTTTGAAGCTTGAAAGTGCTGGGGAAAAAGTGATACCGGTATTATTCACCCAGCAGGTGGTAAATAGTCCCAACTAATGACTGTGTGGCACCTGACATTTTCCAAAGTGCCTTCCAAAAACCCTCTCCATATTTATGACAGTCCTGGGAAGGCGCTATTATTCTTATGAGTCTTATACCACCAATGAAAAAACAGAAGCCCAGTAGGGTTAAGTGATGTGGCCAGGCTCGCTCCGCCCAGACTTGCACTTGCTGGTCCCACAGCCTGAGTCGGCCTCCCCACCAGTGCGGCCTCTCCAGCTTGGCCGCGGAACTGCTTTTTCTCTGAGAGAATGTGCTGGCTTCAAATATGAGAATTAATTGATATAAAGTGGTGGTAGTGCCCTACCAGGGCATCCTTCTCTAAGGCTAAATAAAGATGTCTCTAACAGCCCCGTGGCGCCTCCATGGGGGTGGGGGGTGTCCTAACCTCAGGAGGAGGAGAAAAGGGCAGATGTGACCAAGGAGGAAGAAGAAAAGGGGAAAGGCCCTGGTGGAAGATACTCGCTAGCGCCTTTGTCATCGTGAGCAGAGCAGAAGCACAGGCTACACTTACAGTGGTGGATCCCACTGGCTTGAAGAGGACTCACACATCCATCCGGGAGGAGAGTTCCCCTGAGGCCTCCGCAGGGGCTGGGTCCCCGCCTCGGAGCCTGGCTTGCGCCCCATCCTAGACTGCTGGCGCTGGTGCCCAAGAAGCTGCTTCCTTGCCTGTCAACTCACCTGCTTCCCAATTGTAGAGCCAACTTGCCAAAAAGGAGTTGTGGGTAACATCTCTGTTGTGGTCCGGTTGCCATGGCAATAAATTGCCACTAATTAGTAGTGTGGTTACCATGGCAATTTTCTAGTAATTACAGGTTACAAATGGCGCAAGGCTTCAACCCAACCCAATTAGTTAATTAGAAAGATTTAGAAATTTGTCCAAAAGGGAAATAACCTGCTTTGTAGAAAATGAAGGGAATGTGTCACAGCTTGGGAGCCAAAGGCAGAGCGGAAATTGGAAGACACCAAAGTGGAGAAGAAGGACGAACGTGTGTGGTAGCAGGCTCTGGGTCTCCGTGGGGATTTCCTGCGCTAGGCCAGGGTCCTCTCACGGCAGTCCACTCACAGGCTGGGGTCTGCAGGACCAGGGCAGGGAGAGCTGCCAACAGCCGCTTAGCAGCTCCCGTTTTAATGAGCAGGGATGGTGCCCAAGTTCTGGTCAGCACCCTCCCTGCTGGCTTCCAAAAGGCCTCCGGAAGCCTTCTCACCCCTCGTCGGGTAGGAAAGCAATGCCACCTTGGAGGGCGATCACCAGTACATTTGTGGATTTAGCAGTGCAGTTTTCGTGAGATTTGGATACTTCTTGAGAGCTAATCAGATTATCTGGGAGAAATCCCAAAGGCAAAGGCCCAGAGGGGGTCGACAAGGAGTCTAATCACGGAAACATTAACAATTGTAATGCCTTTTGCCCCACCATGTCCCCTGAATGCCCCATGACTTCCTCCTGTGGCATCTCAGGCTTAGAGGAGCCTAGGAGAACACATTACTGGTTTTTTGGGTTTTTTTAATTTTTAAAAAATCTTTATTTATTTGGTACAGGGTCTCAATACACAGGTCAGACTCATAGTGATCCTGTTTTCAGCCTCCGCAGCGCTGGGATTACAGGCATGCACCACCATGCCCAGTTTCAGTGGCCAGCAAGGTGGCACAGCATGCGGTACCAGGGATCAAACCTGAATCCTTGCACTTACCAGGCAGGCACTTGGACCACTGAACTATCTCCCCAGCCCCGAGAACACGTTTCTTGAATTAGCGTAGTCACTTGGGGGAAGCCTCTGCCCCAGCCAGAGGTGGACGGTGAGGAGCCTGGTCCATCATTACCCAGCTCTGCCTAATCTCTCCATTTATTTAAAAGAAAGATAAGTACTCTTACAACTATTCTTGTTATGCTAAATAACTTCTTAGATAACATATTTCAAACTTTACTGTGCACACGAACCACTCAGGGGTCTTGTTAGGATGCAGTTCTGATTCCGTAGCGCCTGAGAGGCTGTGTTTCCAGCAAGTTCTCCGTGCCATTCGGGCAGCGCATGCGCAGGCCTGACCCCTGCTCAGAAGGCCTGTCTACAAAGTCCTTTCATCTCTCTCATTTTGTAAATTGACATCTAAGAGGCGTATACATTTATCACGGAATGTGTGATGTTCTGATATATGAACACAATGTGGAATGACTCACTTGATCTAATTAACACTTGCATTATCACTTGTTTGCTATGAGTCACTTAAACTCTACAGTACAGTCTTAGCAAGTTCAAGTACGCAGTGCATCATTACTAACTGCAGTCACCAAAGTACACAACTGATCTTGAACGTAATTCTCCTGGTTAGCTTTTGTGCCCTTTACCCAGTTTCCTCCCTGCCCTGGCCATGGCAACCACCAATCTAGTCTCTGCTTCTGTGAAGCCCAGATCAACGTGATCATGCGTGTTGTCGTACGTGCCTGACTTATGCTACGTAGTGTAACGTCCTCTGGGTTCATGCTTGTTACAAATGACAGGATTTTCTTCTTTGTAAGGCTGATAATACTTTGGTATATAAATATGCCACATTTTCCTTGGTCATTCGGTTGCTGCGCAGTACTCAGGTTGATCCCCTAGGCTGGCCGCAGTGCATACGGCTACAATGAACGGGAGCGTAGATGTCTCTTTAACATATTGAGACTTAATTTCCCTTCACTGTACACTCAGTCGTGGAGTCGCTGGATCATAGGGTAGCTCTAATTTTAATTTCTCAAGGAACCTCCGTTCTGTTTCCCATGGTGGCTATACCAATTTACCTTTCCACCAGCAGTGTACAGGGCTGCTTTCTCTCAGCACCCTGCAGACACCTGTAATCTTTCATCTCATAGCTCATCTCATTTGATTTTCTCAAAAACCCAAAGTAGAAAAGGCAGGTCAGACCATCTCCATTTTACAGATGAAAAAACTGAAGCTTAGAGGGCAATGCAAGCTGCACGAGCTCCACAGCTTGTAAGAAGCCAGGCTGGACAGGAATCTCCATCTCACCCCAGTCAGGGTTGTAACAGCCTCCAGCACTGGGAGGTGTGGAGCAGGTCGAGCCTGGCAAGCAGAAGCTTTGTCTGAAGCCCACTGGTTAGGGATGGCTTGCTCTGGACATACTGTGGTTGGACTTTTTCACATGTGTAGTTCAAATTTGTTCTTGAAGACTTCAAACCTAATGTATAGCTAGTTTATTTTCTTCTTTTTTTAGAAAAAAAAAAGTATACATTGTTGGAATTTTTTCTTTAAAGCAATAGAAACAATTATTTTTGCAACAAGCAAAAACAAAACAAAGACATTCAAAGAAAAGGCCAGCTACCATCTCTCCTTCCTCGCCACCCTTCCCCATCAAGGTGGCCAGCGTTAACAACTCGGTGTGTGGCCTTCTCCGATTTTCTCCAAACTCAAACAAGCTGTGTAAACATGTGTATTCAGAAATGTCATGTATTTCCTTATCTTTTAATGAAAGTAAGATCACACACTCCCATGACTCGGCAGATTGTTTCTCCTTTTAACAATATATCATGGGCATCCCTCCAAGGCGGTACATACGGATCCATGCAGTCTTTTTAAGAGCTGCAGAATGATCTACCATATGGATTCACTGTAATCCATTCTACCAGCTTGCTGTCAGTGGACATAATTGCTTACTATGTCAAACAATGCAAAATGAACATGCTGGCACCTATGGCTGCTACCTACAGCCCGAACTATTCTAGAGTCGGAACTTACTCTTGTAGGTTCTTAAAGCAGGAATGTACCCAAGGGTCTTGAGCAGTATCGTGGGCCTTGGAGGGGCAGTAGGGACTGTCCATGGCCTATGACTTGATCAGAATGATGTGGGTAGAACTGGGCTATGGTAACTTAGCTTCTTGTCTTAGAGGGGAAGTGTGTTGACACACAGGACGAGAGCCAAGCTTTCTATGTTCCCTGGTGCCTGGAATCCTTCCTGTGCCACAAGGTGACTCCGGCTGCCTCCTCCTTGGCCTCCTCCTCAGTGACATCAGATTTACAGGGACTGTGAGCCCAGCATTGGCTCAGGGAAGCCACTAAAAGATCACCCTTCCCCCCCAGGGCTCTTCCAGGGCACCTCCATTGCACTTTCTCGTGGGCCTTAGAGGCAGCTCCATCCTCCAGCTGGGCCCAGGGATTTGCTTCTGTCACTCACTGTGGGTCTTGTCCTCTCCTAGGGGGCCGAGGTGTCAGCGTGGGCCCCATCCTCAGCAGTAGTGCCTCGGACATCTTCTGTGACAATGAGAATGGGCCCAACTTCCTCTTCCACAACCAGGGCAACGGCACCTTTGTGGATGCTGCAGCCAGTGCTGGTGAGTAAAGACAGCCTTGCCCTGCGCCCCTGCTCTGCCCCGCCCCCAGCCTCAGGGCAATCACTTCTCAGTTGTCAGGTGATGTTTACATCCAGTTACACACACATACACGCGTGCGCACACACTCACTGTTTTTTACATCTTCCCTGGCAAAGCTGAAGTTGGGCTGCCCTCTGGCCTGGCTCCTCTCTCCTGGTGCTGTCCTTGGCGAGCTTGCTGCTGAAAACACGTCACTCACATGCACATGCACATGCACATGCACACACTCATACTCAGGCCATAGGAAAAGGCATCAGGGACTCCTGACTGTTGTCACTTTCCAGTAACTGGCACTGGTCGGTGACCCAGAGTCCCACTTGTCCCCCCGCATCCCTTCTCCCTCCAAGCTGCCCCTTCCTGTGTTGACCCCCACCCCATTTATCTTAAGCATTCAGTTCAATCCCATAACCACTTATGAAACTTTTGCCAAGGGCCAAGTTTGTGCCAGGAGCTGAGAATGCGGCCATAAATAAGCTGAGACCACCCCACATACAGAAGACGCACCTTCTAGAAACAGATGTTGTCTTGGTTACTTTCCTCTCATTGCTGAGACAAAATACTCAACACCCAAAGTAAGGAAGGAAAGGTTTATTTCACACTTTGTGGAGGCTTCCAAGCAGGGTGGCATGGCACAAGGTCAATAGTTTATGGTGGCAGAAGAGAGCAAAAGCAACAAGAGCAGAAGGGGGGAGAGCAAGCCTCTTTTCCTCCCTTATACTGTAGGCAGACTGCCCCCCCAGAAGTAGGTATAGTTCTCACGCCATCTTCATGCCTCCTCCTGCACCAGATGAGGAGGTTTACACAGCAAAAACCCTGCCACTGCTGAGTGGCTTAGGTAACTTCTGAACTTCTTAAGTTGACACAGTGTATCAACCATATACACAGGCAACTGTAAGAAGCAGGGTAAAAGCCAACTCAGGGCCCTTCTTACTGTGTGCTCACCCCTCATCAAGCTCAGGGTCTTTGCACCTGCTATTTCCACTGCACGACTGCCCGCCTTCTTGTTTGTCCACAAAACATCAATGTATCCTTCAACGCTCGGCTCCAGTGTCACCTCTCCGAATCCTTCCCTGACTCCCTCTGTGCTGATTGGCAGAGACTGGTCCCTCCTCCTGTGTGTTCCCACTACCCTGTAGGTGAACTTCTCACTCACTCAGAGTTCTCCATCACCCTCGCGATCGGTGTGTGAGGTCTACAAGGGCTGGGATGCGGCTCTATTCATTCTTGATGTAGTGCTTGGTACCCAGTGCTCATCCACTAGTTTGCTGAATGACACAAGGACACCTGAAAACTGGTGGACATGAGCAGTCTGCTCTCCAGCCCCCTCTTCCCACGCATTTCCATCACTACCTTGTCAACAAATGGAAGGTGGGGAAGAAATGAGCAGGGAGAGAATAACTGCACCTCCTTGTTGGACACGTGGGGAAGAGGTCACTGGGGATCTAGACCGCATGTCAAAGGCCCAACCAGCATCAGCTACTATTGACAACTGGCATCCGACCCCCGAGCACGTGCTGATCCACTGTCTCTAACCCGAGACTATCTATTCCCAGCTTCCTGCTTGGGAGTCTCCTCTTGGGCAAGCCCCTGCCCAGGACGCCCACCTGCCCCCAGAGTGTGGCCTATCAGCCCCTGGCCCTGCTTTACATCTTCTTCCCTGCAGGGCTGAGGTTGGGCTGCCCTCCCACCTGACGCCTCTCAGGCCTGCACTCAATGTTGCTGCTGAAAAATCATAGAGCAAAGGGAAGAGGTTGTGGAGGAGGCCTAGGGCATTCGCTGAGATGTTACAGAGATGGAAGCAGAGGCGAGCCAGCAGGGTGGAGCGGCAGAAGGCATCAGGCAGGAGCAGAGGCAAGGCTCGAGGCCGTAATTGAAAGTCAGAATGATGGCAGGGACTTAAGGAGACATGTCAAGAGGGCATTCGTCACCCAAACGGATGCTGCTGGGAAAGGCAGCCTGGCACCGATTAGACCTGTGAAAGAGAACCAGCTCCTTGTCAAGGTGCCGCACAGATAGGAGAGATGGGCTGGCACAGAAGGCCACCGACACTTGGGCTGCGGAGGTTTTTCGAGAACCTGTGGGGTGTTAATCCTAGGGACTGGAGGCTGCCCTCAGTGCTGTGCAAAACTGCTTTCTCAAGTGTGAGCCTCTTCTCTGTCATGGCCCATCCCCCAGGGCTTTTGGGCCTCAGGAGGTCACCAGCCTCCAGGCTTCTCAGGGGCCCAGCTTCTGGTTTCTCCTGGCTTCCACCCTCAGGATCTCCCTGTTTGCAAGTGTGACTGCCACTCTCATTATGTTGTCCTATTGCCTACCCCCTGGGGGCCTGTTGACCTCCAGTTCTGTGTCCTCTGGAAAGAGTCAGCTTTTTCCAGTTCTGCAGCTGGCCTGAGAGCCTGCCTCAGGCAGCCAAGAGGTCAGGCCCGAGCTCAGCAGAGCCGCCTTCCACCCTCCCTGAGGGCCAGCCCACTAAATAGTGGGCAGGTGACATTGGACATAGGTTTTTACAAGGCATGCCCTGGGTTTCTGTGTCACAGCTGCAGTAATTCCTCTGCTGTCCCCAGCATCCCCAGTTTGCCTGCTGTCAAATTATTTATGTTTCTTCATTCATTCAGCAAGTACTTACTGAAAACTCCCCGACAGCTGCAGGCTGAGACAGCCACTGCACACACACAGGTGAACCAGGAACAGTCGTGACCTCACAGAGCTTTGGGTCTGGCAGAAATACTGGGCTTCAACCTAGTGAAGCAAAAGGGACATAAAGATACCTTGTGATCAGCACTGTGAAGGAAGAGACCAGGGAGCTTCCCGATGGGGGGGAGGGGCTATGACGATGAGGTCACCCGGGCAGGGTTCCCTCAGGAGGTGATGGGGCTGGAGCTGGATGACCGTGGGCCTGGGAGGCACCCACGAGGAGTCCAGCTGAGCAAAGGCCCAGGAGCTGGGAAGAGCTTGGTTCACTTAGGGTGTGGAAAAAATATGAGTGGCCAGAGCTCAGTGAAAAGGGGTGAGCGGGAAGGTGGGCAGGAGCACAGTCAGGCTTGACCCAAGAATACTGGGGAAGCCCTCGAAAGGTGAAAGACTGACATGTTTAACTCAGTGTCTTCTGGGCCACGGTGGGGTGGCCAGGACACAATTTGGCCCACCAAGGAGAATTTCCATTTTTCTTCCTCAATCCATATTGCTCCAAACTAATTGTAGTGTATTTGCTGTGCAAACGCAACCTTAAAACAAATCCCTAGTCCCCTTTGCCAGCAGACAGCTGTGCCACCTTCTGCCTCTGTGGAGAGCTTGTGAGACCCAGCTGTGTCGTCCCATCTCCCCGAAGGGCATCCGCCTTGTTGCTCAGGGTGAGTGTTCGTGGAGTAGACCAGGCCACCATGAGCCTCCTGCCTCTCCCCCCAGGTGTGGATGACCCCCACCAGCATGGGCGAGGTGTCGCCCTGGCCGACTTCAACCGAGACGGAAAAGTGGATATCGTCTACGGCAACTGGAACGGCCCCCACCGCCTCTACCTGCAGATGAGTGTCCAGGGGAAGGTCCGCTTCCGGGTAAGAAGTGCCTCCCTCCTTCCGTCCTCTCAATCCAGGGCTGAGGGACTGGTGGCTCTTTGGAGCCTGGGGCAGATCAAAATGAAGATACCACGCAGGAGATGACAGGCTCCAGCCTGGGCCTTGAGGAGACTCCTGGGCTCAGAGCAGAGAGCTGGGCAGGGGCCAGGGAAGAACAGAGTCCCACCTGTGGATCAGCCTCTTGATAGAGGCCATTCTTGCTGGAGACTCCTGGAAGACCTGACCCGAAGCTGCAGCCTGGGATCTCCAAATTGGCCTCCAGACCCAGGCAGAGTGCCAGGAGAGGGGTCAGAAGTTCCCAGGGCGTCCCCTAAAGACAAATGGATAGTGGCTGGTGAACCCTTTGGGTGCTCACTTCCTGGGTTGTCAGTAGACTGCAGTGCCAAGGATTTCCTGAAGGGACTGTTGACATTAATGGAAGTGCTACCAGCAGGAGGAGCTTCAGTTGGGGCTTTCCCTGGGAGCGAAACAGAGCATGGATCGCTGAAGCCGATGGTAGGCAGCCAAGCTGCTCTGAAGGTACTTCAGTCTTGCCAAGGACACCCAAGGGAATGAGAAAGTCCAGTTGTTTCATGTGCCCAGGGAGTCTCCAGGGTCTTTAATGTTTTGTGTCCGGGCAGCGAGAGGTCCCACTCCAAGCTCTGCCCTGTAGGAGCCGCCTTGGGCCCCTTCCTATGGAGGCTTGAGATGCAAGCTGTCTGGTGAACAGGAGGCGTGTGCTGAAATCAGGGCTGTGGATCCTGGGTTCCAGGATGACGCCATCCTTACTCGACTGTTGTTCTAACTGAGCTGCTCAGTGGAGACAGTTCTGCCCTCCCTTTGGCCCTCCTCCAGGACCTTAGACAGTATCTGGGACGCTTTTAATTATCGCAGCTAGGGACAGGGGTACAGTGGGCAGGGAGTGAGGGCCAAGGATGCTGCTGAATGTCTCTCAAGGCCCAGGGCAGCCCACGGTAGAGAATCATCGGCCCCAGGTGTCAGCGTGTTGAGGGTAAAGAACCTGTCAAGCTTCCGAACGCCCCTCACACAGTGTGCAGGAGCAATCAACATCATAATAACAAGTGCCCGATTCGTCGGGTGCCCCTCACGTGCCAGGAACTCTGCTAAAAGCTCCCCATACATTAGCTCAGAAGTCCAGGCATCCAGTGGGGGCAGCCCCAAGGGGGCTGTGTAGCTTTCCATTTTTATAGGATCGATGGAACGATAATGAGTTAGAGATCCTGAGACCTCCCTGTTCCTCAGCTGTTAAGGCGCTGCTCAGCCCACCCTGCCCAGCTGACCAAGCCCCTCACCAGCGCGGTGCCCCCTCCCCATTCCCCCTGGCCAGCCCACCAACCAACCCAGGCCGACTCCTTCCTGTGACCAGCACAGCAAGTCTTTATCCCAGACATAGTGGCTGTGCCCTTCTCAGCCCCTCTCTTCGGGCCCTGGCATTTGGGCAGGCTCCCAGATTCTTTAAGGGACAGTCCCACCTACAGTAGGGCTACTCTGCTCAGAAACAAAAGCTTATGTTGTACGTCACGTTGTCCTGGGCCTGGGATCTCCCCATAATCCTAGACAGGTAGAGCTGAAACTGAAACTCCCACAAAGCCAGTGTCTTAAAAACTTAGTTTCCAAGTAACAATAAAACAAAGCAGACACAGTGAAAGACGCAAGTAAAAGCCACCTCAGTCACCTTTTGGGGGCTGGTTGTAGGGACAAGACAGCACAGTTGTCTGTCTCATCCCCCTCTGCCCCACGCATCTGACATGCAGCCCTCACAGCCGTGATTAACCCACATCCGTGATGCGCTCTGAGGGATTGAATAACCTGCCTAAGTTCATGCAGCTAGTCAGGGGTGGGGTGTGGATCCAAATGCCTGGAGTTTTTGCTGCCTTTCCAGCATTCAACTCACCGTGGGGGAAGGAGGTACAGCAGAAAGGGCATCACACCGAGAATCACAGCCCGAGCTTCAACTCGCGTGGAAGCTATGACTACAGGCAATTCCCTTCCCTTCAAGACTCAGTCACCTCACTTGTAAAATGGCAACACTAGTGACCACACTACACAAGGGGCTGCTGGGAGGGTTAAATGTGGCCCAGACTAGCGACAGCTAAGTGTTCACTGGGGTGAGTTGTTACTATTGTTCTCCCGCCTTGTTTCCTCCAAGCATCCTGAGGCTCATGTTGGATAGGCAGCCACCCAAATCTCTCATGCAGAGGCGGGCAGGAGGTGTGAGTCTCTTGGCTCTGTGGCCACATGCACAACAGCAGGGGAGGCCTCTCGCCCAGCCCCACTCTCCTGCACACTCACTGCCACCCTTTCTCCTCCAGGACATTGCCTCACCCAAGTTTGCCACGCCCTCCCCTGTTCGCACTGTCATTGCTGCTGATTTTGACAATGACCAAGAGCTGGAGATCTTCTTCAACAACATTGCCTACCGCAGCTCCTCCGCCAACCGCCTTTTCCGGTATGCAGCCGGGTGGCTGGGAGCTGCGGGTTAGGAATCAGAGGGGAGGGTTGTAGGGCCAGGAAGTCAGGACCCAGGAAGGAGGGAAGAGAAAAAATAGAAGGGAGGGGAGGCCAGAGGCTGAGCAAAGGCTGCAGGGTGGAGGGCGAGTACTGGGCTATTTATTGCCAGGACATGGCTCCGGGTGTGCCCTACCCCAGCTCCGTGAGCTGGAAACCCCTACCACCACGAAGGACTGAAGGGCCAAGTCTTTGGGTGAACCTGGGTTAAGCAGACAGGCAGGTTTATTTACCACAGATTTCTGGGGCCTGTATCCAGACCACAAGTGTTTCAACTTTCTAAAAGATAAATGGAGTATTCCAAATAGATTTGACCACAGAACATATCTTTCAAAGGCTTTTCTCTCAGGATTGGTTCTCTGCTGAACATCCTTTGGGAAACACTGAAGGAGACACTGAATGGTAGAGAAAGAACAGGGAGTTTTGGAATCTAAGGACTCGGCAATCCCCTGAGCATAGTGTCTGGAAAGAAAGGTGGAATGTCAGAGGTGACATTTCTCCCCAGCCTGCCAGAGACCATCAGCATCCAAACCATTCAGGGTTCCTATTTAGAGTTCAGGATGCCAAGGTCTCCCCCAGACCTCCAGGGTGAGGTACAGCAATCTGTATTTCTGAGCAGGGTATCAGGCACCGGCTGATTCGTATCACACTAGTAAAAAACATTGCTGGGAAGAAACCTTTAGACTTTAGAGAAGTCTCTGTCCTGGGCATAAAGGATGTTAGTGGGGTTCAGGACAAGATGGGGAGAGGAGGGTGGACCATCTTGGAGCCAGGAAATGAGTTGAGTTACCTGCCTGGCTCCCCCCGAAGTCCCAACCCCCTCTCAGGAAGGTCCAACTGTTATTAAAAGGTGTGAGCTGTGACTGAGCATGTTTTAAAATATAATTATTAGCCAAGCATCAATCCTGACTGAATGCAGTCACCCCCCAAAGGCACCAGATTTACTAATTAGGTGCCTTGCAAAAAGCTTATTCACAACTTCCAGATTAATTGCAGAAGATCAATTGCTCGTTAACAGAGACACTACTTTCCTTCTCCGTCTAATAAAGTGTCACTTGCCGGGGCCCCAAGCACCTAGGAGTCTAGTGCTCTGGTCTCTGCGGCCTGAGAACCCAGGCAGCTCCCCTCCCTGCCACCTCCCTAGTCTGCTACCAACCTCCAAGCCTCTCCTGATGCGGAAGATGGGCTGGCATGGTGGTCAGTGGCCGGTCACCACGTGCTCACCCGGTAGGGAGATAGGTTTGCTTCTACGCAGAGGCTGCAGAAGCCGCCTCTTAAGCGTGTAGGTGGGCCCCAGGTCTCTGTGGCACATGGTTGGGTCCCGAGCTCTGTGCTACTCAGCTGGCAGCTCAGAAGTTAACCCGCACTGTCCCACTCCACACGAGCTTGTCACCTGTTGCTGAGCTGAACATCAGAACATCATGGGCTCCTTGAGCCCATTACTTTCTTGTGGCACAGCCAGGCACAGGGATCCCACAGCTTCATGGGCTTGAGTCTGCAGGTCCTTTAATGATGCCACGGGCTAGTTATCCATCAAAACAAAGTAAAAGAGACACCATTAATCACCATGGCAAGACAACAGTCATAACAGGCACTTTCCTGGCCAGCTGGAGGGTGTATGGTCTCCCACTTCTGCATCTAAATGTGCCTTTGGTCTGTCTTCAACCCTTCCCCCACACCACTCCCTGATCTCTCTGGAAGACTTTTGTGCCCACCTCCAGCTCTTTTGTCCTCCCAGACTTCAGTCCTGCAGACCAAGCTGCAGGCAATGCAAATCTGCATACACCTGTCCTCCGCATACCCCTAAGGGGAGTTCCCCATTGCTTTGGGATAAGGTCCCCAGCCCCTTGGCCCCCCATTTCCTCCTTATTCCCAGGCACCAGGCCCCTGAGCTTCTTTTAGCACTGGGCTCTGTTGGGCCTGGGCCTGTACACTGACTGCACACACTAAGCCCTGTGCTCTTTTCCATCTGAGTGGCCCTGTCCCCTGCTCCACTGGCCTCTGCTTTGCCAGTCTGCCTCCGATTGCCCCCGCCTGGGTGGGCTCGCTCAGTTCCATGCTCCCCCTGCCATCCCCCAGCCCTGTGCCTGGTGTCTCCCTCGGGTGCAACTCTGAGCGCCGTCCCCGCTGATGTTCACTGCACTTCCTGCTCTCAAGGCCTGGTGCATGGAAGCCGCTACGGAAGAGTGTGCTCACTGAATACAGAAGCACAGGGCAGCTGCTGGGCTTCCTCCTGGCAGTTGCTTGGTGGTGTCTGCCCAGCTGTGGCACATCCTCCATGACACAGATGGCCAAAGGAAGCATGGACATCAGCAGGCTGAATCATCCCACCTCCGTCAGATGTGCACACGCTCATGCACACTACACAAGCCCACTGCCAGCACGTGTGCTGCGCAACCCAGGGACACACATGGACAATCATCCTGAATGCCTGTGTGGGCAGAGGACACCTCGTGGGCGCCCACTCAACCTGCCGTTCTGCCGGCTGTCCCTGCCCCCCGCCACCTTTCAACTCAACGAACCTTGGCCCCCTCCTGAAAGTACTGACCACAGCCCAGTGCTCTTGGTGCTCTGTGCCTTGGGCAGACCGTGTGGCAGGGTGAGTGGTGCAGATTCCTCTGTGCCTGCTTTCCCCCTTCATCTGCACATTCAGGATAGAGCACCCAGGCTGAAAGGAGGGAATGACAAGAAAAGTTAGAGCACAGCACCCACTGTCATCAGCAGTGTACTTAATGTGGCCACAGGACAGCACTTTGATGGCAGACATCTCAGAGACAAACACCTATGACCAAGATTCAGAGTTCAAAACAGAAGCCCTGCAACCCAGAGGGAAGCCTTTCCCCGTTTGCCTCTGGAACTCACCCTCACACCCCACAGACGTGCGCGTGGAGCCTTCTGAGAGCGGGGCACCGTGTTAGATGCTGTGGGAGATGCTAAGATGAATAATGCAAGGCCCCAGCCTGCAGAGAGCTCACAGACCGACCGGCCGGGCAGATAAGATGCATTCATAGCGATGTGAACACAGGAGGAAGTGATAAAGGCCACAAAGCGATAAAGGCAAGGGAGGAAGGCACTGCTTCCAGCCGGGCAGCCAGGGAGGGCAGAGAGGAAAGAGCGTTTGCACAAGCCTGAACCCTGGTAGTGTCCAGAGCTAGGAAACCCAGGGCCACTGGAGAGAGTGAAGGTCAGTTGAAGGTATGTGTACCCCTGCCCCTCTCTATCCATCAACTGTCCTGCCCTGGCCTGTCTATAATTCATCCATTAGAGAAGGAAAAATCAATATTTACCAACATAAATTAAAACCCAAGAAGGGACCCACGGAGTGCAAGCAAGGTCTGTGAGCAGAGAACTGCATTGTGGTCATCCAGGTTAAGGGACAGAATGGACAAGCAGGCTTCCAGGCCCCGCCTTCCCCCACAGCAAGCCTGTCTCCCTCCTGCAGCGTCATCCGCAGGGAGCACGGAGACCCCGTCATCGAGGAGCTCAACCCGGGTGATGCACTGGAGCCCGAGGGCAGGGGCACAGGTGAGGGCACTGGGCGTCATGGCCTGCCTCCCTATCTTGCTGCTCCCTGCACCCCCGGGGCAAGGGCAGGAGGCCCAGCACAGCCAGTCCCCCCACAGGCTTGCCTGTCCCTGCTGCTCTGAGAGTCAAGACCAAGGGGAAGGTGACGGCAGAAAGGAAGGAGCCCTGGGCACTGCCAGGTAGGAGGCAGAGGAGAGGACTGTCCTCCTGTACCCCAGGGCTGCTAGGCCTCCGGGCAGGAGCCTGGGCCTGCAGGAAGTAGTTTCTCTGACCAGGCCTTGCCACTCAGGGGTGGGAAGGTACAGAGGAGCCCCTTCTGCTCCCAGGCAGGGGCTCTGCGTCTGCCCTCTCCCTTCGTGGCCCTCAGCTTGGTCTCAGACTAAGCACTACCCACGAGGCCCACGACCAGGGTCTGCCACTGCCTCATCTTGTGGCCTTGACAGAACTGTTTCAGCCTCAGGGTCTTGTTTCCCACAACCCTAAAAGGAGAAATGGTTATAGCCACCCTCATTTCTAGGTTGCAACAAGCACTGAAAAGAAATAAATACCCAAACAGTTGTTAAATTGACAAAAAAGAACCCACTCCTGTAAAAACAGGAAGGTATATTATTCAAATGATAACGGAAAGGGCAGTGGGTGAATAACTTGCATCCACACCCTACATGTGAGGAAGAGGAGTGTGTGCCGTGAATTCTGAGCCAGCTGTTAGGAGCGAGGCAGACCCTAAGGCCCCTCCCCAGTCCCAGTGCTGAGCTCTGCCTGTACCGTCCACGCTTGGGGCTGTGGTGGCCGAACCCGGCTGCGAGCTCCTTGTCACTGTGGGTTGCTTGCAATGGCCAGAGGTGAAATCTGCCTTGTTTATAGGGGGCGTGGTGACTGACTTTGATGGAGACGGAATGCTGGACCTCATCTTATCTCATGGAGAGTCCATGGCTCAGCCGCTGTCTGTCTTCCGGGGAAATCAGGTGTGTACCAACCTAGGACCCGTAGATCCCAGGCGGGTGACCCAGGGCACAGGAGCCTAGGATGCTTGCTGGCCGGCCTGGTGGGACATGGAAAGCCCAAGCCTGGAGACCGCACATCAGTCCCCTGCAGCACAGCGCACCTCAGGAAGCCGGGAGACGCCCTGGGCCTCTCTGCCATCCACTGTCACTTCCCTGCCAAAACTCTTTTCCTGGGTCTCTCGGGCTCTCCCAGTGCCTCTCTTTCTCTTCAGCTCATCTGTCTTTGCCCGTTTCTCTTTCTTGCCTCCTCCTTTCTCTTTCCTCTGCCCTTTTCTCATCCTCACCCTCCTCGCCCCCTCTCCCTCCTTGTCCCTCTCCCCTCCCTGCTGCTCCTGCCCACCTCGCTGACGCTCTACCTGCCTGTCTCCCTCCCTCCAGGGCTTCAGCAACAACTGGCTTCGAGTGGTGCCTCGCACCCAGTTTGGAGCTTTTGCCAGGGGGGCCAAGGTCGTGCTGTACACCAAGAAGAGCGGGGCTCACCTGAGAATCATCGACGGGGGCTCAGGGTACCTTTGCGAGATGGAACCCGTGGCACACTTTGGCCTGGGTGAGTTGGGGCCCAGTTAGGGCTCAGTGAGTGGGCACTAAAAGTGAGTCCTGCAGCATGCTGCGGGGCTTAGGAACACACAGTCCCCGCATCCTGCGGGCGCCGCCTCACTGTGACAGCATGGAGGACAGCAGCTATTGGAGGCCGACCCTTTGGGAGATGAGCCCACACTCCGGGGAAGGGAGTGGGAAAGGCTGACTAGAATTTCCTGTGTCTCTCCTGTGGGAGTTTCCATCTAGGACCTGGAAAGAATTAGTTCACTTGGAGTCAAAGTGTTTAATCCTCTGTTCGTCCAAGGCCGCACCTTGCTCTTCATTTGCTGGTCTGCACCAAACTTGTCCACAACAGCTGGTTCCCCTGGCCTCTTGGGATCTGACTTAATGTTTCAGGCTTCTCACCAAAGCCTGGTGTCTTCCAGTGGACAGAGGTTTGGGAACAAAGCTCCCATAATTTATAATAACCTTATGTCTAATAGCCAAAAGCTAGGAACACTAGAGATGTCCTTCAGTAGACTAATGGTTTACAAGCTGAAATCCATCCGTGCAGTGGAGCATCCCCAGCATCAGAATAGCCAACCCTCGGGTAGACTGCCAGGGCCTTAGGGTAGAGGAAGCAAAGTTTGTTTCCAAAGCCCACATGATCGTACTCCCATACCCTTCTCAAAAACCAGCACAGACCGGTTGTTACCAGGGTTAGAGACGGTGAACAGAGGGATGTGGCAATGATGTGGCACATCTTTGTCACAATGGCACAGTTCTGTATCCTGACTGTGCTGGCTGTATGAACCTACAAGTATGAAATACAACACAGAACTACACACACCCCTTTACCCAGGTCAAGCTGCTGGTTTTGATGTAGTGCTGTCATTACGTACGATAGAGGCATTGGGACAGCTGGGAGGTTCATTTGTGGGACCTTTCTGTACTGTCTTTGTAACTTACTAGGAATCTCCAATTATTCTAAGATATTTCTAAATAAATCATGGAGTTATTAGGGGAAAAGGTGTAAGGATTACAATAATAGAAAAGAAATTGGGCCAACAAGGTAGCTCAGTGGACTAAGCACCTGCTTAGGCAAGTGCAGGGACTGGGTTCAATCCCTGGCACCACATGCTGGGTGGGCCCCACCCCCGGGCATGCTGAGCCAGCCACTGAGACCGAGCATGGTGGCACATGCCTGCAATCCCAGCACTGGGGCGGCTAAAAACAGGAGGATCACTACGAGTCTGAGCTGTGTAGTAAGACCCTGTACTAAATACATTTTTAAAAAAGAAAGGGAACAACTCATTGAGAAGCCTAGCAGGAGGAAAGCCGAGAGTTAAGAAAGCAATTGAATCAGAAATTCCTAGGCTCAAACCAAACACCTTCCCTTGTGTTGGCACCTCATGAAGTGATATGATTTTAATATAAGAAGATTAGGCAATATGGTCTCAAATTAATGAATACATACCAATGTTAATATTATACACACATTATACATGCATAGAAAAAACTGAAAGAAAATGCAAAGTGTATGAACAGTACTTTCATCCAAGTGGCTAAATTACCAAAGTGGCTTCACTTATTCTAGACACTGTGCTGTGCACTGTGTCCTCTACTTCATCCCCACAACTGCCCTGAGACAGCCACAATCATTCTCATGTTTCAAATGAAAAAACTGAAGATGGACAATCAAAAGGAAAAAAAGGCTGCCCCAGGTCGTGTGCTGCCCAGATTAGCACAGCAGGGCCTTAAACCTGGTCTGTCTGAGAGCGTGATTTTTATTTTCTTCATTTTCTTCCATGTTTTGGGGTGTGTGTGTGTGTGTGTGTGTGTGTGTGTGTGTGTGGCAGTTTTTATAGGGAACACGTAATATTTATAAAGCCTGAAAAGAGGCAGTAAATATTCAGCGGCCCCAGGGCCTGGTTATGTGCGCCTGCTCTCAAGCTGTTGCTCCCTGGATGGCTCGGCCTGAGTTGGGAGCATCTATCACTCCTGAGGCTGCCTTTGTCTGTGCTGCCCCTAAAGGTACAAGACGACTTTTAAATACAGCATCTTCTTGCAAAATAACAGTTCTGTAAGGAGCTCCTAGTATGTGCCAGGCACTGGACTAAGAGTTTTGTGGGGAGACTTCACTCAATTTCAGTGCAGCTTGATGAAGCAGATAGCATGACCTGCATTTACAAGTCAGAAAACTGAGGCTGAGGTTGAGTGACTTGCCTTAACCTCAAGAAGGTGAGGAGAGCTAGGTTTGGACTCCACCTCCTGGGATACCATGGTCTGCACTGTGGACCACTGTGACTCACCACCTTCCTGTCCTATGTGTACACAGCCAGGGTCCTCTGCTCTGCTGCTGCTGCTGCTGCTTCTTGGACACCTCAGCCCCTCAGTGACCCAAGGGAGGGCATGCTAGCACCAAGGTGACTACCAGGGTCTCAGGTGGGATGTTCATCCAGGTACCTAGCTGCATGTCAGCCTCCATCCCCCTATACAGATAGGGACATTGGGAGCAAATTGAGGGAGTAGCCAGGACTGGGGTTGAGGTTGTCCATCGCCACATCCCATGAGCTTCCTCTGCTAGTTTAAGATGCGCACTATGGGCCTGCCTTAGCCCCTTCTCTGGCCAGCATTTGCCAGGAAAGCAGACCTTCAACCAGGCAGGCTGTCCAAGTCATTTGCTGGGGTCCAGAATGTGTTAGGACTGTCAGACTCTGTCCTCAAGGCAAGGTACCTTGTACCTGACGTGGCCCCTCCTGATGTCCACCCTTGAGGGCCATGGAAATTGCTCTTGGTTTGAACTCTGGCTCAGAGTACTCCAAAGGCTCCTACAGGAGGCTTCTCTCATCTGCAGGGCTCCCTGCAGAGAAGGGAGAGAGAAACAAGCAGGAGGAGGGAGAGAAGGAAGGAGGGAGACAAGGAGGGGTCAGAGACAGGCTTTGAGATAGCAAGTGATGCACAGGGGCAGCTAGACCAGGAGCAAGGCCAGTGGCCAGGAGTACGGTTCTCCAGTAGGCAGGCTCAATCCCCCCAAGGGCCCAGGAGGTTCCCTTTATGGGTAGAGCACAACCCAGGCCTTCTTGATGGAGGGAGGAGCCAGCAACGGAGCAGGAGAGCGGGCTGGTGGGGAAGACCAGACATTGGGAAGTGTGTGCATTCTTGCTGGCTTGGGACAAAGGCCCAGATGGAGTGCTCCATCCACAGAATGGGAAAGAAGACCTGATAGAGGCTAAGCCTGAAAAGGGAGGAGGACGGACCAGGCTGTCTGAGGTCCCTGCAGAGGGCAGATGGACCAAGGAGCACCAGCAGAGTCCAGAGAGGCGCAGCCCACATTGCCTCGGACAAGAGGTGCCACAGAGTGGCCCTCAGGCCATCAGCAAGGGCAGCGTCCTACATCAGGAGTCCCAGAGGGAGAACAGGATCTGTGCATATTCGTAGAAGCCTTTTTTCTTCCTCTTTCTGATTTTGAGAACAATATACACTGATTATAAGAAAATTAGAAAGGGCCGGCCAGATAGCTCAATGACATAAAGCACCTGTCTGGCAAGCCCAAGTTCCTGAGTTCAATCCCCAGTATCCAAAAAAAGAAAAAGAAAGAAATTTTAAAAATATAACAAATCATTAAGAATAAGGCAGAAATCGCCCACAATTTCATACTACTTAGAATATTAAGTAAAAAATAAAGCTCTCTTTCTTCCCCTTCCCAAGTGCTGTTCAGTTGGCTGATTCAGTTCGTATTTCCTGCACACCTACTGTGTGCCAGGCACTAAGGACTAGATAAAGGTCCTTAGCACGAGCACTCTTGTATTCTAGTGGAAGGAGAAGAAACATGGCAGGTACGATAATCATACACAATAGTGAAAATATGAAATGTTAGCTGATATTAAATGCTACAAAAAAGAAAACTCCAAGCAGGGAATGGAGACAAACAGCCAGTTCCAAACATGAGGTCTAGATTGGCTTCCTCAGCATCCAGGCCTTTGCTAGGCTTTCATCTCGTTCAGGATAGGCAGGAGCACATTCACGGATGTGTATGCTCTGAGAGCTACAAGTAATGATACTCCTCGACTTGTCCTAAAGCCTTGCTTTTATCCTTGCCTTAACAGTCCAGCCTGGCCATTACTCCAAGTCTATGCACAGTTCTTTGCTTTCTCTCAGTACTGTAGCGCATTTCACTGTGTGGCAGGGATCATAACTTATTTACAAGTCCCCTGCCGATGGGCAGCTAGATCCTTTCCAGTTCTGAGCAGTCCAAGGTGAGAAGAAGCTGAATACAAGAAAGGCCTGCCTTGGGCTCTGCTTATCGCAGAAGCAGAGCAGACCCAGGCTGTGCAGGGAGGAAGAGGGGAGATCGGGAGCAGAGGGCGCTGCAGGGGGCAGCAGCACGGAGCACCGGCTGCCCCCACCCCCGCCCCCGTACCCTTCCTTTAATCACGCCCTGCCTTGCCCTGACTTTGTAGCAAGGTGTGGTGAGCAGGTGCGTTGTCATGGACGTGCATGTGATGCGCACACTCGCGCCTCCCCACAGATGCGCCCTGGGCCCCTCCTTCCCCATGGGCGCCAGGGCAGCCGGCTCAGAGCTGCACTCCCTGGCACAGAGCTGCCCACAGCAGCCTCCGCGGGTGCTCTGCACTTCACGCCACCACGGGAGACCAGACCCCCAGGTGCACCCCAGCTCCCTCTGCGGAGCTGGCTGCTGTCCAGGGTCCTGAGGGCCTGCTGGGCTGCATAGAACGCTCCCAGGGTCATCGTACAGGCCTGGCCCGTCTCAGTGGCCCCTGCCCACCCGTGCTGCGTTCTCCAACTCCTCACACACCGCCCAGGCCTGTCCCTGCACCTCCCAGAGGCAGACCAAACATTCTTGCTTGCAGGGGTTGTCAGTACCCCCACCGCAGCTGTGCTCCCCATTGCATATCCAGGCTGGTTTCTGGCCTGCAGGGGCTGAGCAGCTCACTGCGGAGCCCAGAAAACAAGCACAAGGGCCAAAACTCTGCTTGCCCCAAGGAGCCCCACAGGGGTCCCCCCTCGGGCAGCCTGCTGGCACTGGTGGCACCCACACCCACACCCCACTTCCTTTCAGCTAACTGTCTGCGAGTGACTCAGCTGCCTCTGAGCCGGCTGTGCTCATTTAGGGAAGGAAAATTCAGTAACCCACATAAAAATTGCTTTATTAAAGTGCAAAAATATTCCACCAACTGTATTCTCACCATCTGTTTTGCTTGTAATTCTGAAAAGTGCAATTCTCTGTGCTCCTTGGCCTTTGTCCTTTAAAAGCTGCCAGATCAACTCCCCGCTGCTCCTGACCTGCATCTATGCTGGAGAACCAGGCTCCTCTGCACCCCCCCACCCCCACCCCACACACACACTGGCCAGCGTGCAGGCAGCTGCAGTGAGGTGCAGGGTCAGGGAGCCCGGGCCCCTCAGTTGGGCAGCTCCGTGAACTCTGGAGATCTCACATAGGCAGCCTGGGCCAGAGGTATCAGATGGCCCCAAGACAGGAGCCTGAGTTCAGCTGTAGCACAGACATCTGCAAACCACTTCACCTTACCTCAGTGTTTCCATCCAGATAATGGGTAGAAAATGACTGCCCAAGACCCCAGAGTCCCTCTCCTTCCCTTCTTTGATCTTCTGGCCTGGCATTCAAACACCCCATGCCATTTCACACTTCTGGGCCTTTAGCTATGCTCTTCTCCCTGCCTGCAATTTTCTTTCCTTCCCTTCTCTGCTTCACAAACTCTTCCTCTTCCTCCAGTAGACAGAGGAAATGGCCCACCTCTCTGAGCAGTACCAGTGCTATTCCTACACATCCCCAGCTTACTACAATATATCCTCACTTGTGTTCATTGCTTCCATGGGAACCAGTTCCTCCAGAATGAGGTCTGGGCCCTTCTCAGGTGTGCTGGACTCCCCACCACTTTGTAGTGCTTGGCACAGGGTGGCTGCTGGGCATACCTGCGGGGCTGTTACCAGCACAGGTCACTGGGGAGTTGTTTCCAGGGTCTTGGTATCCCAAAAAAAAGAACTGAGCAGGACAGTCAACAGGAACCACAAGACCAAGGTTTATGAAAAGCTGGTGAGAAGAGCTTTTGGGCCCCATGGTGGCAGACACTGGGTCTCTACGGACCTGGGAGTAGGGAAGAGCTGTAGCCGGGGCCTCGTAGCAGCCGTGACCAGGGTGCCTGACTCAGCATACCCAGGGAGAAGGGCAGGTTTTGACCATGAAAGGTGTTTAGAGGAAAGGGTAGGGCATGCAGGAGCCCACAGGAGGCAGTGAAGATTACAAAGCAAATGTGGTCGTTGGTGACAGCCAGGACCACAAATGCAGTCATCAGTGACAGGTAGGGCCAAGTATTTAGGGGTGTGCACACACCTGGGGCCTCAGGGGCACAGGATGACCTTTCCCTGTTGGCTTCCTGACATTTCAACAGTTGTCCTTGTTCTGCCTAGTTTTTCCTTCTACCTCAGGATGGGCGGCATCACAGGGGTCCCGAGAATATGGGTCCCAGGATCCAACAGACCTTAGCTGGGGCGGGTAATTCTCTTCCCTCCCTGAGTCCCAGCCTTCTCATGTCTAAGATAATGGAAATAATGAAACTGTCGCCCTTTCGTAGCCGTTCTGTGCCCATCCTCTTGAGGAGGTGCTAGGAGGACTTAGTGCCTCATCACCAGAGAGCTCTTGGGACAGTTTGGGACACACTGTCAGTACTTGCTCTCAGTAACAGGTGAAAGCCCTTTGGGGACTGCAGGGTGACACCTAAGAACTGACGGTGACAAGATGATAAGAGTGTTGATTAATTGGATGGCGGTGTTCATACTTCAGGGAAGAACCACATTTCCCAGGGGTGTCAGGACTCTGGGGCAGCACCCCATCTTATAGACAAAGAAACTGAGGCCCGGGGAGTGCGTCTCGACCCTCCTAACTCTGCTTCTCCTCTCCCCTGGGCCTAGAGGGAGGCAGGGACAGAAGAAGCAGGCCTCGGAACCCCTCCACAGTGCAGGCTGTAAATTTGCGGTAGTCTATGAATATTCCGTGACTTGAGTTATTTGTGGCACTTCAGGCAAGCTAGAAAATGTATTCGTGTAGCTGTTCTGTTGCTATCGCTGAGAAACGCTTTTTTCTTTCTTTTTTTTAATCTCCTTTTCTTTAATTGAAGATGTTTACTTTTTTACATGTGCCACTTATTTGGGGCACTGTACACCCTAAAAATGCCGAATCTCTTGCACCTCCACATTCTTCAAAATAAGGAAACAAAACTGTAGCTGGCCCTGCCCACCTCCATTCCCACCCCTTGGAGTTACAGAAGGCTGGGGAGTGGAGACTGGAGAACCCTGAATCTCAAAGGCTGGGGCCGAGAGGAAAGGATGTCTAAGGGAGAAACGGGGCTGTGGTGTGAGTCCCTGCCCTGAGCCTCTTGCCAGGACGGCTGCACGGCGTGGCCCTCAGAGGTGGCAGCTGTCCACGCCCTCACTCAGCCGTGGTGGCTGCCCCGGAACCTCCTAATGGGATTTAGCAGGGGCGGGGGGGGGAGCAAGGAGCAGCAGACACAGGGAGGACAAGGGGGCAGCACAGTGTGGCCCACACGGCCGCCCACGGCATCCTGGGACTGGGCACAAGATCAAGCAGGGCCCACACTGCAGCGCCACGCTACGACGCTGTTCAGTCTCTATGCACAGGTGTCTACTCCAGATCATCTTAAAGTGTCTGTGGAGTTTCCAACCCTCATTTTCTTTAATACTAGAACCCCTTTTATATATCAAAATATCTCATGAATAGCCCTCTACCCCCGGGGCTATCAGTGTCCTACCCGCTGGTGGATAGTAAGAACCAGAAGCCAGGAGCAATTCAACAGGACATCAGATGTGACTGGCTTTCTAGCAGTATCTGTGTACACTGGGGGGAAAAAAGTAACGTATGTGCATGGGTGATCTGTTGTTTATTCAGCCCAGAAACAATGTTATGGGAGCATGTGGACTTGAGAACCCCACGGGACCCGGTCTCCCACCCTACCCTGGTGGGTGATGAGGTGGTATCTGTACGCTTCCTTCAGGGGTACCACCCCCTGCAGGTAAGGTGGGGCCCCCTCCCCACCCCAAGGCCCCACCATCAGCCTGACCTTGCCATGGGGACCAGACGGTTTCCCTTTGCACTTGACCAATCTTTCCGGCATGCTTTTTGCTGCCGGTGATGCAGGATGTGTGTGCGTCGGTGAACCCTGAGTACTGGCTCAGCTTCGCCTGTCTTTGGTAAACATCTCAGCTCTACAGAATGGTATTCTTCTGTACCCTTTGCCCCACCTTTTTCCAAGTCTTTATTTAGACCTCTGCTCAAAGGCTTCCTCCCCTAGAGCCTGTCCTGGACACCCGAGATAGAAGGGCCCCCAAACAGCCACCCAGTCTCTTTGCCCTGTTACTCTAGCTTTGTTTTCTTCATGGAGCTTGCCGGTATCTGACATGGTTTATCATGGGTCCTGTTTGCTTGTCTTCTGCATGGAGACTGGGAGCCCCAGAAGAACAAGGACATTCCCGGTGACAAAAGAGGGCCTGTGCCCATTAATATAAACAAAAGAGGGTGCCCAGGAGTGCACAGGGAATGAGCTGAAGGCCAGGGATTGTCCCCGCTTCTCCCAGCCACCTCCTTCTACCATGCTCCCTGTAAACACCAGCTAGTGGTGGAGCCAAGGCGAGAGCGCGGGACCCCAAGGGCAGCATTGCCCGCCAGGCTATGCCTCCCCAGCTGAGCCTTGAGCCAGGGGGCCATCAGCTAAAGTCTGCGGTCCACAGCTGTGCTGTCCAGCGTGGCAGCCACTGGCCGTCTGTGTTTATTGCCTTGGAGATAAGTTCAAACTGAATGACACGGAGTTCACTGCATGTGCTCGACAGTCGCAGGAGGCTGGTGCCTGCTGTCAGATCCCGAAGACGCCCGCCACTGCAGAGATTCCACTGGACAGTGTTGCTGTGAAGAGAAGGCGCCCTGAGTCTGCCTTAAGAAGAGTGGGTCATTGGCAGTTTGTTACGTGGATGAGCACACTAATGTCCACGCTTTGGCTGAGGCCCCCGTGTCCTCCGACACTGACCTCTCTCCCTCTCCTTCCTGCAGGAAGAGACGAGGCCAGCAGTGTGGAGGTGACATGGCCAGATGGCAAGATGGTGAGCCGGAGTGTGGCCAGCCGGGAGATGAATTCAGTGCTGGAGATCCCCTACCCCCGGGATGAGGAGAGACTTCAGGACCCAGCCCCACTGGAGGTGTGCCAAGGCATCTGGGCCTCCTAACCCCATGGGCTACAACCCCATGGGCTGACCAATAGACGTGCCTGAAGAGGGATGGAAACCTTACCAAAGAGCAGGCTCTAAATGAGTCCTCCCTTTGTAGTTTACACAATGCTATCACATTCATATCTTTTCTGCTTGTCGTAGAAATCCTACAGAATTGTAGGAATGACTTTCATACCCATTTCACAGAGGAGGAAAACTGGGGCTATGAGAGGGAAGACACCCTCGCTACATTGAGGCGGCATAGCCCATCGTGAGCAGGATTCATAACTGACCCTCAGTCTCTACTGCCCTCCAGATTCTGTCCAAGTCTTTGAGGAGGCCTCTTACTGCCCTCAGGGAGGGTCTCAGGGCCCATAGCAGGGCCTCTTGGGGCTCTGTGAGGAAGTAGCTCTGGAGCGGCCTCTCCCCAGGCACACAGATCCCATGTTTGGGGAAATGAGCAGGACTTAGAATTATGTGTTCTTGGTTTCCCCTCCCGGCCTTCTCAGTGCAAATAAAAACGTCCCAGAAGGGAGGGCTTTCCCCCGGCCTGTGGCTAAGGGCACCCTTCATGCTGAGGTCAGGGTGACAGCTGCTCTGTGGCTCTGATTAGGCAGGAACCTGAGATGACACCTTCCGGACTCACCAGTGTCTCTGCTTCTGCCCACTTTGCAGTGCGGCCAAGGATTCTCCCAGCAGGAAAGTGGCCACTGCGTGGGTGAGTTGCCGGGAGGCACCAGAGGACGGGTGGGGGCTGGGATCTCACTCAGCATGCCAGCCAGACACACAGGGAGATCCAGGGTGTAGACAAGGGGCAGGAAGGGAAGCAGAGGAAAGTGCTGCTTGTGCCAGCGCTCCAGATCCCAGGACAACTACCGGGTGACTCACCAGGTGATGGTAGTGACTAGGCTGAGTTGCCACTGTTCTGGGACGTGGCAGGGCCTTCTTGCTGTGAAGATGGAGAGCACAGCTTGGAGAGGAGACACCACCATGAGGACTTCGAGGTCCTTGGTGAGTGGGGTGGGCACGCTTCACCCTGATGCACTTGCCCAGGTGCCTGGCCCGCCAGGGGAGCAGCCAGCAACGGGGCTGGCAGACGAGTACTACATTGCTTGGGGCATTTGGGCAAAGCTGTGTGGAGCAGGTCTCAGTGCAGGTAGGAGACTGCAACTTGGTACAGTCCTGGGGGGCAGGTCACTGTGACACTGCTGAATGGCAGCTCCGAGAGGGTCCACTGACCTTCTGGAAGTTCCCTGGGCCCTGGAATGATGAGAAGGGACAGTCTAGAGGCTGTGTGCCTCCCGCTGCAAGCCAGGGAGGGGCCAGCCCACAGGGTTACTCCTTCCTTAACCAAACATAGGAATGAGCCAGACAGACACAGCCCTTCCTCCGTGGCGCTTACGGCCGATGGAGAAGCCCACAAGTGAGGAGCTTATGACTTCACAGGGGGGTCAAGGCCCGGGATGGACAGAGGCAAGAGCTTGGGAGCACAACGCTGGCACCTACCCCAGTCTAGGGAGGGTCCTTGCAGTGGCCTAGAGTGAGCAGGGTTGAAGCTGGGGCCTGACAGGTGAGGAGGAGCTGGACAGGCAGTAGGGCAGCAGTGGCCCACAGAGGCCTGCCAAGAAAGACACAGCTCCAGGAGTGGGGAGCAGAAGTGCCCCCCAGCACTATGTCTCCGTGCTAAACAGACGACGGGGCGCATAGAAAGCCCAGTTTTCCCCGCATGCTGAGCCAGCCGGGCCAGCCCCTGCTCCAGCAGCCATAGATGTGCTTCCTGCTGGGTACCAAATCACGCCCTGGGTGCTGGAGATGCAGCCCGACACCCGCCCTGCGGGATGCTCACTCTAGCGAGGGAGGCGGGCCCCAGGCACGGACCTCCCAGCTGGCCATGCAGCTTACGGACCTGTAACAGAGAGCTCTCTGGGAAGCTGTTCTGGACAGAGAGGACCTTAAAGCCATCCTGAGGGATGAGAAAGAGCCAGCTACAGAAAGAGCTGAAAGGAGCATTTTCCGGGAAGCTGGAAGAGCAGGGGCAGAGAGCTCTGGAAAGGACGCACTTGGTGCACTAGAGGGGCTGCACACCTAGATGACAAGGAGGCAGGGCCACATCCAGAAGGGGTGCAAGGCTCTAGGTTTGGGCCCTTGGGAGTTAAGCAGAAGAGTGACTGATGCGGGCCCCATCTTTCAAAGATCACTCTGGCTGCTGAGTTGCAGGTTGGATTGGGGGGAAGAGTCAAGGCAGGAGGCCAGTAAGATGACAACTGCAGAAATCCAGGCAGCTGAGGGGGAAAAAGGAGGACAGAGAAGCAGCACACAGTGGCGGCAGAATGAACAGGGCGTGACGTGGATTGCAGATGGTGGGGAGAATTCAGGGATCGCTCCGGCTTCTGCAGGAGCAGCTGAGTGGATGGTGGTGGCATTGATTGAACTAGGGAGGCTGGGAAAGGGACCGAAGAGGTACAAGGGCTGAGGGAAATCAGAATTCTGTGTGGGGCATGTGAAACTTGAGGTTCTGTTCATATTAGACATCAAGTGCCGAGTAGGTCGCTGGTGACTGGATTCATAAGCCTAGAGCCGGGAGGAAAGGTGATGGCAGTCAGTCATGGATGAAGGGGTCACCTGGAGAAGTTAGGGTGTGCAGGAAGGAAGATCAAGCCTGAGTGCCCCCCTCCTCAGATGTAGAGATCAAGTACAAAAGGAGCCATTCCAAGGAACTGAAGTAAGGCAAAGGGACATTTCCAGTGAGGCAAGGGGACATCCCCAAGGTCTCAGAGTGGGGAGCGTGCTGGGCCTGAGCTGCAAGCCCCAGCCCGCACTCCTGAGTGAGCAGCCCCTCACGCCTTTCAGACACCAATGAGTGCATCCAGTTCCCCTTCGTGTGTCCTCGAGACAAGCCCGTGTGTGTCAACACCTATGGGAGCTACAGGTGCAGGACCAACAAGAGGTGCGGTCGGGGCTATGAGCCCAATGAGGACGGCACAGCCTGTGTGGGTGAGTGGGCCTGCCACATCCCGGTGTAAGGGGAAGCTGCCCTGCCCTGCGCAGCCCAGGGTGGGCCCAGATCCAGGTCCCCGGCCCCTGCCCACTCCTGCATGGACAGAGCCACCTTAGATTCATGTTGAGTCTCCAAAGAAGACCATGGCAGAGGCTCGGAGAAGCCCCACCACTGCCACCATGGCCTCAGGGGCTGTATGCTAGCCTGAGGCTATTGTTCCTCTCACCTTGCCTAAAGCTGGAGATCCTGCTTTGAGGCCAGCCCATGTTTTCATTGCTTAGATGTGAACCATGTGTCACCTTTGGCTGAAATTCTGAATTGGTCTTTGTCTTCTTCCTCCCAAACTCTTCCCTCCCCATCCTTCCCCTATCCCCTTTCTCTCTTTCCTTTTTCTGTCTCCCTGCCTTACCTTTTGCAGCTCAAGTGGCCTTTTTAGGTGGGTATTCTTCGGCTGCCTTTAGAATCTCTGAGCCTCTCTCTTGGGCCTCATATCTTTCTCTAGGCCTTGGACTTTGCCTTCAGTTATATGCACTTTAAATCCCATCAATAAAGGAAAAAAAAAAAACAAAACAAACCAACCACCTTTGTGGAAAACTCTCTCTCCTGCTGCCTGTCTTTCTGTACACCTGGTAGACTGTGCCTCATACTCCCTGTGAATGGACAGCAGGGGTGGCCATCTTTGAAAAGGGAAGTTTGTGAGATACTGACACCACCACAGTTGTTTATGAAGCCTTTCTTTGCATGTTTTCTGAGAAAACAAAGAAAGTCTCCCTTGTCCTCATCCAACCTCCCTCACTGCTTCAAAAGAATCAAGATAGTCCTGTCTCTTCCGGATCTTCCAGTATCTTGAGAGCTTCTTATTTTGCCCTTAACAAATATGGCTCACAGGTGGTTGCTTGCTTGGTCGATTTAATAATGTATTGTGTGCCTGCTGCTTTGGCCTGTGCTGTTGCTGCTCTTGCGCCCTGAATTCTTGTGGTAGGAAAAGCTTTACTGGGGATGGTGGTGAAGATGGGAGTGCAAAGAGTGGTCCTGTGGGACTTTTGATAAAAATGTTGAAGTTTGAACTTGCTAAGTCTTCCAGCCTCTTTTCTGGAGAAATATGCCAATAAATTCTCTCTCTCTTTTTTTATTTATTTATTTTTTTTCTGGAACCAGGGATTGAACTCAGGCCCTTGCGCTTGCCAGTGAAGTGCTTATTCCACTGAGTCATCTCCCTGGCCCGCTAAACTCTCTACTAGATATTAGCACCTAACAGGAGGGAAGAAAAATCATTTCTGGGCAAGTAGATGTCAGTTGGAATGCTGAATTAGCAACAGGCCTCTCACTAAGAGGGTGGAAGGCCAGGCATGATACAAGGAAGGCACCACTCCCAGGCGTAAGTGGTAATTTAGGTATAGGCAACAATCCTCACATCTGGGGAAGGGTTTGGACCAGGAAGGGTGTGGAATGAGCAGAGGATAGGCATGGGGGGATTACTCTGGGCCCTTTACTTGGGGGAAGTCACATCTCCACTACAGGACCCACTCTTTCCAATCTAACTGGTGAGAGAATTGGGCTAATATTTCCTGAAGTGTTTGTTTTATTTTGCTTTGCTTTGCTTTGCTCTGTTTTGTTTTTTGAGACAGAGTCTCACTATGTAGTTCATACAAGTCTTGAGCTTACTATATATGTCAGATTGGCCTTGAACTCACAGCAACCCTCCTGCCTCAGCCTCCCAGGCACCAGGATTATAGGTGTGCCTTACCAGGCATCAGTAGACTCTTCCCTTCCTAAGACTCCTCAGTGCGGGGCTGGACACAGACATGGCTAGTCTCAGGTTCGCCTGATTTCTAGAAAGATTCTTCACCTCAGCCATTGCAGTGTCTCAGAAACCTGGAAGCTCGTGTAGCCAGCGCAGTCTTTGGAGATGATGTAATGCCACAGAATACGCTCACGCCCAGCCTCAGGTAGTGAAGGCATGTTATAAATCACAGATCTATTCTTCATGGGGGAAAAAGTTGCTCCAAGATATAATAAAATCACACTTAAGAATGCAGCAGGCCTTTTAAAAACATATTTAACAAAAAACTTCCCTTTCCTGATATCATAATAACACTCCCAATAAATCACAAATATGAGTTTCTTGTAGCTAATGCTGTTCTTACACTTAGAACAGCTGCTTAAATGAAAAGTTTTAAAATGAAAACAGCTCCAATTTCCCTGAGAAGCATATACCAACTAAAAAATCACTCAACTTTCAGAAAGCCTATTCCTGGGTACTGACATAAATTAAAGATCTGGGAAGGCCTGAGAGGTGAGGCTCAGAGAGGTGAAGTGGTCAAGGTCACTGTGCCCGAGGTCACAGGGCCGGCTGTCTCCGAGCCAAGGCAGAAGCCTTTCCCACTGTCCTGTTGCGTGAGGGCCGGTGGACAGCTCCGTCTTGGCTCACACTAGTCCCTAATCATTCCGGAAGCTGTTGCCTTGTTGGAAATGAACAAGCGGATCTCAGATCGCGAGATAAGCAAAATTGCAGAGTGCCCAGAGGAATGGTTCCAAATGCAGCAGGAAATGAGGAGATAACAGAGCCCATGAGTTGCCCACACACGACAGCCAGAGAAATAAAGGGCACAACAGCTGCTGAGAAGCCTATCAAGGACATCAAGGCCTTCGGATCACCCGAGCTCAGAGGAGGCTTGCACTCCTGAACCTTGACTTCGCTGGAAGGAAGGCTCAGGAGCGTCACAAAGAGGAGCCCAAGGCCCCAGACACCCGGGACACAGCTCCAGCATCCACACTCCAGAGAAAGGCCTCCATCTGATCCATTCATCCATTCAACAAATATTGGCTGGACACCTGCAGTGTGCCTGGGACTGAATGGCGGTCTGGGACACACAGTGTTAAGCAAACGAAATGTGGCTGCTGTCTGCACACTGCCTAGTCTTCACCCAGGTGGAGGCGCTGAGGACAGGGAGGAGGAGGGCTTTCTGAGAAGTCTAGTCGGATGCTTGGCTTCCTGTGCCAGGAAGGAAGCCTCTAGCCACATGTTCACCCACTCAGCAAGCACGTGAGAACCTCCTGCGTGAGCTTGCAGTCCCTCCTGTGAAGCAGACAGCAAGCTCCTTCTGATGAAGAGGTCAAGTGTGTATCCCAAAGACACTTTGTATGGGGGGAAATATGAAGCTAAGAAGCCCAGGGGACAGGGAGGCACTGAAGGAACCCTTTCTGCACCACCCCCAGGACCCACTCGGTGAGCTAGGAAGCCAGGGGTCTCAAGTGCAGTGCATTTACCTGTCTGTGCCTCACCAGCCACACAGACGTGCGGACACAAAGCCACACTCTGGCTACCCAAGGCCAGAATTCCCACGCCCCTCTTTCCGCTAATGCTTCTTCCTCTGAGACCACAGCATCCCAACCCTTGCTGTGGCCTTCTGAGCAAGGTCGCTCTTTTCTTTGTCCCATAGCCCCACTTGGACTGCTGACATCTTTGTCGGATTGCACTGGACATGAAGGTGTAACAAAAATAGCAGCGACCTTCAGGGGCAGATGAGCAGTGTGACGGGCTGGGGAGGGAGGGTACAAGCGGAGAGGCCCATTCCACTCCGCCCGGGTCGGGGCATGGGCGTGGGGGCTAGACTGCCCATTTTTCAAGAAAAGCCAAGGAGTAACAGTAGCAACAGTACCATTTTCATTCTGTCCAAGAATAGAGTCTCTCCCCTTGCACGTGCCCCTGGAGATGACAGTGGCAGCTTCCTGTTAGTGAGTGCGACACGTCTGGGCCAGACCCAAACTCTTCGCAAGAATTAACTTGCTTCACCCTCACATCAATCCCAAGAGGAAAGCACTATGATTATCCCAGTTCTACAGATTAGCTAAGTGGTGTCAGGGTCACAGCAGCTGGGACAAAGGCAGGACTGGGTTCTACTCATGCCCTCTTTGTTTGGGTGGCCAACAGGTTTACCCAAAAGCTAGGATCCCTCATGCGGCCCTGATGGTGGACTGCGGCAGGAAGGGAGAAATGGAATCCCTGGAAGGCACAGGAACCCAGGCCGTCCTCCCCAAGGATGTGACCAACCCTGCAGGAAGTGCTGGCCATACCGGGGAGGAGAGCACCCTTGCTGGGAGCGGGGCCGGCCCAGCCCCCGGGGCAGAGCAGCAAAGCCTCCTGCTGCCCACCTTCAGCAGGAACACCGCCCTGCTCTGGGAAGGTGCCATTCTGAGGGCCAAGAGTTGGATTATGAGTCACTCTGGCTGCTGTGGCCCCCTCCCAGGGTCTGGGGATCACACCCACACTGGTGACCCAGAGCCCCCACTCAAGCAAAACCTCCACTGTAGCCTCCATGAGTCACGTGGAGACAGGAAGATGAGCTCCGTGTTCTCAGGGAGTCTGCAGAGCTTTTCCGAAGCTCCCACCCCAGGACCTCCCCCGAGGCCCACTGAGACCTTCCCCTTCTCCCTCCCCAGTATCACCCTTCCTCTGGCTCTTTTTGTGTGACCAGAACCCCGGACAGGAGGCTGGGAACCTGCTGGGAATTGATGCTGCATCTCTTAGCAACAGACACGTGCTAGAAGGGGGAACGAGGGCAGGAGAGCTTGGGCTGGTTAACACCAGAGATAATGCCAACCTTTGCCTTCAGCGGCTCTGTCCTCTTAAGGAACCGCAGCTGAACAGTGACACGGGCAAAGGGTAGGCCATTATCAGAGGAAGTGAGAAGCAGGAAAAAAAAAATGATATCCTCCAAGAGAGGATCTAACGTGTACAGAATGGCTGCATACACCAAAAATTTTACATACATGTCTCCACTGGCTCTCACACCTATCCTATAAGACAAAGGTTATTAGTCTGTTTGATTACCACAGAAACTGAGGCTCAGAAAAAAATAAGTTACCCAAGGACCCACCTAGCTAAAATGGCAACACTGTGATTCAAACTCAGAACCGTTTAGCTCCACCGCCTGAGTTCTGAAGCCCTCTGCTGTGCGCTCTTCAGGTGACTGACACCTGGGGACATTAGCTGGCCAGTTACTCCCTCAACTGCATCGCTGAGACACTGTGAGGGAATTGTCTTAGCGGTCGGACGTGTACACCTGTGAACGGTGCTGGCGACGATTCCTGCCCAGGGACACATGGCAGGATCTAAACAGTAATTATACAGTATGTTAAAAGATGCCAAGCACTGGGGGTGGCATTAAAGCAAGGTGGGAGGGCCAGATGGAGGCATATTGTCACTTAAAGCAGGATGGGTCAGGCTGAGCCTCCCTAGGAAAGAAGCAAGTGCACGAAGATGTGAAGTCGGTTGGTAGGTGGCCCAGAACCTCAGTTGCTCATCTTTTAAATGGGGATGAGGCCTCCCAGAGTTACTTGCTGGATTTGACAGAGTTAACTATAGCTGATGCCTTACAGAGTTATTGTATAAAGCACAACAGTGCCCAGCACTGAGGAGGGCCCCCACCTCAAAGCTAGAACTGTTGTCATTATGAAACAGCAAAGTCCGGGATGGAGCCTGGACCTGTTCAGAGCTAAAGCTCCTCAGCTTCCCAGCATGTGCCACCCATGCCACTGGGAATGCACAGAGGAGAAACACAGAGGACCCTGGCCATCCACAAGATGCTGGCAA